AAATTTTTGTAAGAAAAGTATTTAATTATATTTATAATTAATATAATATTTAATATTTAATACTTTATTACTAATCACATAAAGTGAAATAAATATTAAATCAATATTAGTTACAAACATATGGGTTAAGCTTAGGCTATCAACAATATCGGTACCAAAACTAACCGAACCGTCGACAGCATTCAGTGCTTGTTTAACCAAACCACCAACAAATGGTATATTACAGGCAAAACTGCCCATTAGTTTAGTCAAGCCTTAGATAGCACCGGTAGCTCCTCTGATACCACTGTTGGCCAAATTCAATGCTGTATCCACACCACTGCCCACTGATTTGGTACGCAATTGTTGGACACCAGTTCCCATACCGACAGCACCGGTGAATCCTTTATTAAGCATATCTGTGCTCATATGTAGGACATAGTTGATAGATGATCATTTACTTAATTGATAATATTTTTGTTGATGTTATTGTTGTTGTCAATTGTATAACCTTTCAAAATTAATTTAATTAAATAACTGAAATAATAAATCTTATTAAAAACCTATTAATTTATTATTATTTTTATACAAGTTTATTAAATATAAGTTTTTATTTATATAACTATAATTCATTATAATATTTAGCAATATAATCATTTTTTTATTAAAAAAAATAATAATAACATTTCTAATTAAATAGTTAGTTAATAAATTAAATAGTTAATTACTTAATTAGAAATAGTTAATTAAATATAATCAAATATATGATCGACACTATGGATAACTTGATTGACAGCACCGGTACCATCTTTAGTTAGACCATCGACAGCACCGGTAGACATACCAACACCACTATTGATAGCACCTTTAGCCATAATAACTGATTTGTCGACAAGTTTCAAGCTATAATCAACTAAATTATTTACAGCACCGGTAGCACCCGAGCTTAGATTATCAACAGTATCGGTACGAAAACTAACCGCAACGTCGACAGTATTCAGTGCTTGTTTAGCCAAATTGTCTACAAATGGTATATTACCGGCAATACTGCCTATTAGTTCAGTACCGGCTTTAGTCAAACCTTTGACAGCACCGGTAGCTGCTCCTATACCACTGTTGGCCAAATTCAATGCTGTATCCACACCACTGCTTTCGTACCCAATTGTTCGCCACCACTACCCATACCGACAACACCGTTGATACCTTTATTAAGCATATCTGTGCCCATATGTACGGCACCGTTGACAGCATCGGTACCTGATTTGAATAGATCGCAAAAAATTGCACGTTCAGCCACTATATGTGCATTGTTTGAAACATTATCTACCAATACCTCAACTGTAATTAATTTCATTATTTATACATATTTTTCAATAGTTAAAAATTGTTTATCAATTATTAAACAGAAATTATCTAGATAATAAATAAAATAAATGTGATTAAATTTTTCCTTCAAATCCTAAACATGAAAATCAAAATATTTTTTTTAAATTTCTTAAAAAATTATAAAATTTATAGAAATTATTTATAAAATACAATTAATTTTTACAATGCTTATTTAAATAAATGGATTTATAATAGATAAATTATTATTTATTTATTTATATTTAATTTGATATATTATTTTTAAAAATTAAATACATTTTTTAAATAGATTAATAAGAAATTTAATAATTTATTGTTTTAATTATAACAAAAATTAGATTTTATTAATTAAATGATTTAATTAAAAAGTTTAATTTTTCCAATGATTTAAATTTTTTTAATTTTTCAATCTAAGTGCAATGACGTTTTATACATGAGTTTTTACATTCACCTGGACCATTGCAAAATTTTCCAGCATCCTTTCTTACAGTTTCTTAAAAAATCAGTTAAATTTATTAAAATTAAAAATTAATTATTAAAAAATGCTTATACAAAAATTTTTAATAATAAATTACAAAAATATATAAACATTAATAATATTATCTAGAATTCCCTGAGCCCATTTGAATATTATCAATAAATAATATAATTAATAATAAAACTAGAATTAATAGTTTTACAAACATTTTTTTTTAACAAGAATGATTCAAAACTATTTGTTTAGTAACTAAAAAAAAACTAAAACTATAGAAATTTAATTATATGTGATATGAAAATTAATTATTATTTCTATTTAGTAATTTACTATTTTTGACACGTAACATCTAATAACTTAAATAAATATGTGTTACAAACATATGGTTAAAATTTATGTTTTAATATAATTTATGTTTTTTTATTTCGATTGAGAGTTAATTTAATAAAATATATAATACTTTTTTTTAACCATTTTTTATAATTATTAAATAAGACAAAAATCACAAAAATCTTAAGCTTATTAATATTTATCAAAATTACAATTTTTATCTTTAGATATATCATAGTTATAAATAAAAACAATAATTTATAAAAAAAATTTTATAATCTTATTTTTGATAATAAATTTTCAAATATAGTTAGAAATCAAACACTTTTGAGGCAACAGTTTGTAAATTTAACTAAAACTGTTAATAAAATATGTTTTTAATTTATGCATAAACTTATAAATAACTTAAGTTTATTAATATTAATTAAACTAAAAATCTCAATATAAACTTATGCATGAATTTAGATTTTATAAAAAAATTTTAGTATTTAAAATAAACATATATTTTATTATATATAAATTTATAATTTAGTAAAAATACAATACATTAATCAAATCTCAAAACACATTTACATTGTTGGCGGAAAATGTAGATTTTCTAACTCTTTTTCTAACATATCTTTGACAACTTTGCTCAACAGTTCACGGGTTTGTTTGTTAAATACGGCCACAAAACCGTCGGCCAATGCATCGACAATATCGTCGGCAACTTTAATGGGACCTTTGAAATCGATTTTTACGTGTTTGAGTTCATCAATGTTGAACGTATTGACATGTAGTTTGCCCTTATCGTCGGCACCGATATCAACGATAACATCCAGTGTACCGGTAGTTGCGTTCAATAGGCCACTGGTTTTCAGATCCATAAACTGTAGTTCACCCTTATAGTGGATCATGAGGTTAGCGTCGCCAAACTGTAAATGTGCGGTCAATTTTTTGTCAATATGTACAACACTATCGCCCGATCGGACAATGTTTTTCAAACCGGTAATGGTACCCTCGGTCAATTTGGCATCACCTGGACAATTTGGGGGGGCGCGGTGAGGGTTGAGATAGGTTAGTTTATAGGTTTGAGTAATTAAAATATCTATTTGTATATTATATTGCTATGCTTTTTAAAAATAAGTTGTTTAAATTACTAAATAAAAAACTATTATCTAAAAATCTAGTTTTTTTAACTATTTTTATTTTAATATATATATATATATAGACTAATATTATTTTGTAATATTTTATTTTATACTGTATTTATATAATAATCTAACTAGCTTATTAATTGACATAACCTTGACAATCAAGAAAGGCGATAGGTTATATTATGGATTTAAATAATTAAAATATCTATTTGTATATTATTTTGCTATAATTATTTTTTTTTATTTAAAATACTAAATTAACTAAAACTATTAATTAAAAACTAGTTTTAAAGTATTTTTAGTTTAATATATAGACTAATATTATTCTATAATATTTAATAATGTACTGTATTTATTATATTATATTATTTTCCTATACTATTTAAAAAAAAGTTTTATTTATTTATTTTATTTAAATAACTAAATAAAAAACTATAAACAAAAAAATCTACTTTTTTAATAATCTATTTTTAATCAAATATATAAACTAATATTATTCTATAATATTTATAATACAAAATAATTATCTATTGTGTACTATATTTAAATATAATAATCTAACCTGGCTAATTTAATTATAATTATAATTACCATGCCAAGTTATTCCGGCAATTTTCTTATGAAATTCGGCCACCGTATCATTCAAATGCATTGGATCCAGTTTTTCGGCATATTTTGCTTTAACTAATGCCAACAATTGATCAACAAATTTGTTGGCATCATCTTTGGGATCGGCAACTAATATATATATATATAAAGTATTAATTAAAAAATAGTAATATTATTTTATTGTTAAATTAAGAAAATATTTTAAATTATTTATATAGTCGTAGACAATCATAAAAAAATATAATATTGTTTTTTTTTTAATAATTTAATATATTTTTTTACCAAATGGTGAACAGCTAGCATAGGCTACCAGAGCCAAGATGATAATTTTTTGCATCATTGTTTTGGCTAATAATTTGATTTTTAGAAAAAATTATTTATTTAATTTATAAATATATTATTTTTTATATTTTACTTACAATTAATGCCAATTATGATTTTGGATATTTTACATTAAAACTTTCTATCCCTTTTATACTTTAATTATCTATATATATATATTGTGAAAATTGAGTGATAAATATAAAGTTTATAATATATATATATATTATATGATAAAACAATATTTTGTTGTTGTATAATAATACTGTATTATTTGCACTAAAGTCTATAGAGTTCAATGTCAAGTGTTTACTTAACAAAAAATAAAATACAATAAGGATATTAGATTTAATTAATTAATTTTTATTTAATAAGTTTATCTGATTCAATTAATTATTAACTAATTATCTATAAAGCTATAAGTCATACACTACCTGTATTATTATAATGATAAAAATAATATACAATACTGTATATATTAATACTATGATACTGTATATCATTATATTTATTTCATAATAAATTTTCAAGTGTTATGTTCACAAAGTTTAAGTTCATATTATTTTTAGTTAAGTTATCTATAGTTTAAATAATAATAATAATTGTTTTAACTTACTTATAAAATATAACTAATTAGTTATTAAATTAATATTTTTTGCTCCTAAAAGTACTAAATAATCGAAAAAAAACTAATAATTTCAGGACAAATTAAACTATTTAAACAGTATTATAAATTATTCAATAAAATAGTTCTTTAATTAAAATAAATAATTTTATGCAAAGTATCAAATTATATATATATATATTTTTTAAAGTATGAATTTATTTATTTGGTTGTTTTTAAAAAAAATTATATATATATATATACATAGACAATTACAATTAAATGTAGTGAAAATTATCTAGGCACAATTTTTTATTTTTTAATAATTTTATTTGTACTGTATGTTCATTACATCATTGATGGGGGGAAATGCAAGTTTTGTAACTCCTTTTCCAACAAATCTTTGACCACTTTGCTCAACAGTTCACGGGTTTGTTTGTTGAAAATGTCGACAAAACCGTCGGCCAATGCGTCGATGATATGGTCGGCAACTTTGATCGGTCCGTGAAAGTCGATGCGTACGTGTTTGAGTTCATCGATATTGAAACCGTTGACATGCAGTTTGCCCTTATCGTCGGCACCGATATCGGCGATGACATCCAATTTGTCGACATAGGCTTCCAGCGAACCGCTAGTTTTCAGGTCCATAAACTGCAGTTCACCCTTGTAGTGAATTTTCAGATTGGCATCGCCAAACTGTAGGTGAGCCGAAATTGTTTTGGCAATGTCGATTTTTGAGTCACCCGATCGGCTAATGTTTTTCAAACCCCAGATAGTGCCCTCGGTCAATTTTGCATCACCTGGATGATAATTAACAAAAAAAATATGTTAGCAAAACAGGTGCTATGTACAGGTGCAGTATATTGTATATATATATATATATATATATATATATATATATATATTTGCAATTAATGTTGATTAATTAGTTAATTTTTTGTTGTTTTATTTATTAGAATAAATAACTTTTTTTATATAGAAAATTTAGCTAGTTTATACAGATAATGCCCCAATTAAAAGTTTAAATTTGAGTAATATCGGGTAAAGTTAACTTTACAAGCAAGCAAGGTAACTTTTGTATACATATATCTAATATTAGGTTGGTTATATAAAGTACCTTGGCTAAAGCATTATATAATATTACTCAAATTTCAAAATTTTTTAAGTGGCATAAACTATATAAATAGATTAATCAATCAAAAAATCAATTAATTAATTACCGTGCCATGTGATTCCGGCAATTTTTTTGTGAAACTCGGCAACCGTATCGTTCAAATGCATTGGGTCCAGTTTGTCGCCATATTTGGTTTTGACAATTTGAATCAATTGGTCGACAAATTTGTTGGCATCATCTTTGGCATCATTTACTGATAAAAAATTTTGGAAAATAAAAAAATTAGATTTTTTATATTAAAAAAAGTAATAATTTATATTTTTTAATTAAATATACTGTAGTTAATACTGACCCAATGGTGAACAGGTGGCATAGGCTACCAGAGCCAGGATAATAACTTTTTGAATCATTGTTGTTGTTGTTGTCAAACAATTTTGATTTGCAAAAAAACCAAAAATATCTATCAAGTATTTAAGTGTATTCAAAAATAAAAATAATAATTAAGTTTTTATTACTATTTGCTAATGTTTCAATAGTAACTTACATTGATGCCAAACAAATGTGGATGACTTACCACTGAAAAACTAACCTTGCTTATATACCTTAAAAAAATTTTATAACATTTTTTTTGTCTATGATTTTAATTTCAAAAAAAGATAGATAATTAATCACATGTTAAGGCACTGTATAAAAATAACACTTAAAACTATTTTTTACTGGTTTAAAAGTTAAGTGTTTACTGATATATTGTTTTTTTTAATTAAAATAACAATGTCTATATAGTATATTTTTTGTTGTTTGGTGATAGTTTATCATTAAATAATATAGTTATATTAAATGATAATAATTTTTAATGAAGTTTACTGGGCATATTATAAAATAATTAATAAAAAATTAATCTGCTTATTTTTTTCAAGTACTATATTTGAAGCTAATTTATAATATAATGTGACTGAAATAATACTATAATATTGCTTATATAAGTACATTAATTTTTAACACATAAAGTTATAAAATATTATAAGTTGTATATTTTTAGTAAAATATAAGTTAATATTTATTTATATTTTAAAAATAACTTATTGTCATTATATTTAGGGTTATAGAGTACATTAGATATTTATTTTTTTATATATATTAATTAATTTTATTTTTTATAATTATGGTTTTGAACGTAATATATTGACGCAAATATTTTTACCTGGGATAAAGTCTAATGAATTGTTAAGTGGTGCTTGATTAATTAAATATGTTTGATTAAATTTGTTTTAGATAAATTTTTTATAATAATAATAAGATAAATATTTTTTAATTTTGTTATACCATACATTATTATTATTATTTATGAAATTTTATTATAAACTAATTACATTATTTTGTAACTATTCATAATTTTTTGTGTGTAAATAATAAATATAAGAATAAAACTAAAAAATACAATTAAAATTATTTTAGTAGATTTATATATATCATACAAAATTTATTTTTGATTAATTGCTACACAAAAAAACAAATATTTTATTTGACAATAAAAATAAATATATCAATAAAAAAAATTATTAAAATAATTTTATAAGTTATATTATATTAAATAATTGTATTGTAATATCAAACAAAAATGTATAATAAATTTTTTAGGAAATAATTATTTTATTGTTTTTTTAAATTATAAATCTGTAAATATCATGTCATTTACAATAAATATGTCTAATAGTTATAACCATAATGATTATGATGACCTTGATCATTATGATAATTACCTGGACGATAATTAGATGGCCTACTATTATGATCATTATAACTATCATGATATTTATTATTATTATTATTATGTCGATAACCATGGTGCTTTTCATAATCAGCATCTACATCATAATATTTATCATTAGGATGTGGTGGACGTCGTTGTTGAGGTGGATGATAGCCATCATTGTCATCATCAAGTAGACCGGACGACGGCGGCGGCACAGGTAGGTCATGGGTAGGCATAACCTCAACATGCTGATTGCTAAAGCTATTTAGTGATGGCCTACTCTTTGAACGTACCTTTCCCAAATATCTGGGATCATCTAGACTATTATAATTTTGTAGATTGTCATCACCATCACCATCACCAACATTGTTAGCATAATTATGTATCAGTGGTTTACGATCCCTATCCCTATCTCCCGTTTCCCCTTTCCTACGATGTTTCTTGTCTTTAGCCTTATTATAATCAATATCTTCCCGATCATCATCATCATCGGCATCAATATCGCCCATAAAGTTGGCCACTAGATTAGCCATCGAGTGTTTCATAGATCTGGTCAATACATGCATTGCCCGTTCCTTGACTTCCTGTGCGTATTCAGTAGTTTCGTCATTCAGATCATTGTCGCCGTCTGTGTCGTCCATAAAGAATTTGCATTCGTTTTTCGTAACACATTCGCCTTCGGCTGTCCTATAGAAACCCCATCGACAGTGACAACCCGGATAACAGGCCGTCAGTTTTGTACACTTGGTTTTAGTGGCCGTCGGTTTTAGGTCAGTACACAGTCGGCCACAATCCGATCCGCAATCAGTATAGTATTCGTTTGGTTTGCATACCAGACACTGTGGCGATCCCTTACATTTTTCGCTGGGCACACACTTGCCGTTCAAATTGCGCAAATAATCTGTATATATATAAAGATCAAGGACGGGTGTGTGTGTGGATGTGTTGGGTAGGTGGTTGTAGTTGTGGTGGTTAAAAATGTATAAAAAATTATTAGTGAATCAGTAATTATCTAATAGTAGTAGTAATAATAATAGTGATCTAAATTTATATGTATTCATACAGTATATGTACAGGTATTTATAAAGTGCTTGTTTTGTGGTGTATGTGTGTTAATGTAGTAAATATGTTACATATAATTAATAACTTAATAATATAATACTCTATAATACTGTAATAGTTAGAAATAAAATAGAGTTTTTATAGTAATATTTTATTATGATTTATATACAGTATGATATTGTATGATATTTACGTGTAAAATAAACTCTACACTTATATTTTAGATATTGTATTATTAATTTAGAGTATTTTACTTTAAATGCTTTTATTTTCTACTTTTGTATTTTTATCATTGACTTTTTTTTGTACCAGGCTCAGCTTGTTTATATTAAATAAAAATATTATTTATAAAATATATACTATATATAAATATAATTTATGTTTACGTGTTAGAAAAGTACCTTACTCTATTGTGTACCTTTACTTTGAAACTAACATATATATATAATTGTTTAATGCAATTTACTACTGTATAATAGTATACTATATAAGTATCTACCTGTGCACACATACACATATACATATAAATTCACGACAAGCACCTACCGCTCAAACAAAAACATCCCGATTCGCAGGTTTTCTTGCATTTAGTCGACTCTATACACGATTCCTCGCACCGATTGCCGCACTCGACATAGTATTCAGTGTCATCGCAGTTGGGTTTCGGTGTAGTAGGTGTCGGTAAATTGCAGTCCAATTTAGTACCGCACTGACCGTCCACATCACGGTAGTAGCCTTTGTCGCAAAAGCAGGCCTTTTCGCAATCATTTGGCGGACAAGTAACAGGATTTAAGAGATCTTCGCAAGTATTGCCACAATGACTGCCACACTCTTTGTATATTTCATTGCGACCGCAATCAAGTGTGTTATCTATTGGACAGTCAGCTTTTAATACACAAGTACCGTTTCCATCTCTATGTTCAATAAGTAGCACAAAAAATAGATTTTAATTTTTTAAACTTTTTTTAGATTTAAAAAAAATTATTTAAATAGTAATCATCTATTTTTTTAACAATATGATACAATATTTTTTTAGTATTTTATTATAGTAGGGTGTATAAAAAAATAAATCTTATACCTGTATATTTTATACATGATATTATATTATAAAATTGTAATTTTTTTTTAAATAAATTTTCTATAAATCAATAAAAATATATTAAGATTTTATATAACTAGTCTTAGTAATTGTAAATATTATTATAATCAGTATAATACTAATTATTATTTTCATATAATTAAATTACAATAATATTAAACTAATATTGTTGTTTATTTGTTTAGTAGTAGTAGTTTCATCTAATAAAATATTTTATTATTATAAAATAAAAAAAATTTACTACTGAAAAAATTTTATTACAAATAATAATAAAATATTTTTAGTTTTTTAATCTAAATTAAATTGGATTCATTTATAGACTGTATTATACTTTTTAATTACTATAATTTTTTTTAAAATAAAAATCTAGTAAATTTAGCTAAAACTAAAATCCTATAAATATGATATAAATTGAGTTAAAAAATATGTGAGTTAAGTATATCGGTGCTGGCACACACCTACCTACCTATAATAACCATGTTTACAAAAACATCCCGTATCGCAAACTAGCGGACATCGGACACTCTTTTTCAAATCACGACACCGTTGGCCACAATTACTGCCGCAATCGCTGTACTCCTCATTGACCAAACAAACCGGCCGTTCGTTGCACTGGTCTTTCGGTACACATTTATCCGCTTTATTACGTTTATAGCCTTTCTTACAATAGCATCCTTCGGCACACTTCTGGGGACAGTTGTCCACATCAAACTTGGGCTGACAGTAGTCGGCGCACAGGTTACCACACTTATTGAATCGTTCATGCTGGCCCATACATTTGCTCGGTGGTTTCACTATAGGCTTGTCCTTCATAGTGGCATTCCGTACATCCTGACCACATTTTTCAGGCTTAACGCACACACCGTTTTCGTTGATCAAGTAACCTATTTTTTGGTTGGGTGGGGGGGGGTTAGGGAAGGGATGTTGTTATATACGCGGTATATAATAGATAAGTAATGTTTTTTTTATTACATTATGTATTTTTTTCTCTAACTTTATACTGTGTATATTATGTATAGATTTTATAAAAATTATTAAAAGTATTATTTTGTAATAAATATATATCAGATTATAGCTTGCTTATTTTTTCAATAAAAAAATGTATATAATTAATTTAATTGTTTTTTATGCCCTATTTTTAGAATAAATATAAAAAATATTATTTCACATAAAAAATCATATAAATATTTACTTATATTATATATTCAGTGATATTTTCGCTAAAACTAATACAAAAAAAACATTAAGTTTTATATAATTTTTATAAAAATATAATTTTGTTAGTTTGTTAGTATCTTCAAAAAACAATAACATAATCCCTAATATCTACTGTATATCCAAACCCATGTAATGTGTACTGTACTACAGATAATGCAAATTAAAAGTTTAAATTTGAGTAATTAATCGTGTACAGTTAACTTTACGCTAAGCAAGGTAACTTATTAGTATACAGTTACCTAATATAGAGGTAAGTTATATAAAGTACCTTGGCTAAAGCATTATATAATTTATTAATCAAATTTAAACTTTTACAGTGGCATAAACTGTACTAATATACTGTACTTACCCTGTTTGCATACACATCCACGGCCACAGGTATCCCGACATTTGGGTTCACTGTTGGCACACGATGGCACACAGTTATCTGAACATGGCTCATATACAGCATTGGGATCCGTACAGTTTAATGGTGGCAGATCACATTCACATTGATCACTGGGTACACAGTAGCCATAGCTGTCCCTATAGAAACCTTGTTTACAGAAGCAACCTTCTGAACATTTTGCCGGACAAACAGTATGGTTGGCATATTTGAATCGATCGCACGATTCCGAGCACTTGGATCCACAATTGGTCCACATTTCGTGACTATTTGGACACGTTTTTGGTGGCGTCGGCGTCGTTGTCATCTGGGTTGGTATCAGATCACCCCAACAGTCCATTTTTGGTACACATTCATCAGTTAAATTTCTATTGATTTTATTGTGTTGTTAAAAAATAATAATAATATTAATAAAAATTTTTTTAAATATATATATATATATATAATAAATCTATTTGTTTAGTTGTATAATAAAAATATTTTACTGTATTTAACAACTGTATTTACTGTATTGAATCCTAGCAACAAATACAAAAAAACTAATATTTAATTATTTAGATATTTTCATTGGAAAAGCAAATATATATACAGTATTTACTGAAATTTTATTTATATTTTGTTGTTGTTGTTATTATTGTAAATATTTATTTGAATTAATTTAAATTATATTCCACTTTGTATATTATTTTAATATTATTTATATATTAATTTTTAGTTAGTTAAACTATATATGCATTAATACTAATTTTTTTTTGAAAAACCAGCTAATAATTTAAATTTTCACTTAATTATCTAAATTACTTTAAAAAATATTGATATATTGTTATATAAAACATATAATAATACAATATATTAATTTTAAAAATAATTATATTATATACTCAGTGTATACATATAGAAAATAAAACCCAAAGATCTAGCAAAACAATAAAGTAATGTTTAAAAATAAATAATTTTAATTAAAAAATAGACATACATACCTAAAATGACCGGGCTTACAAAAACATCCAGGTAGACAATTCATATTTTTCGGACATTTTTCTTGGGCATCTGAATTTTCGCACCTTTCCTTACACGGCGATCCACATGTGTTATACATTTCATTTACCGCACATTCCTTATTACTAACCGGTTTGACCGGTTTAGGTGTCGGTGTTGTACATTCGGGTATGACTGGCGGACGTGTAGCTCGTTGTGTAGTCGTAGTGGTCGGCCTGTGACCCATCATAACTAAACAGTCGTCCAACGGTATACAATTGTTGTCGTCATCCCGTAGATAGCCTTCCCGACAAAAACAACCGGCCGTACATTCAACAGGACATTCGTCCATCAAATAGATATTGTGACACTTTTCTGTACACCGATCGCCACAATTGCTGTACTCTTCTCTTTGCGAACAATAAGATTTCATTGGTTTCTTATCGCTGTTCAGGTTGTCATCGGAATCGTTATGTTTTCCATGTTTTTCAGTAGTCATCAACTCATCTGTTTGATCGGTGCCAGTGGTAGTAGTGTCAGTATTGGTCTCAATTTTATTAGTACTACTACTACCAACAAGGCCAGGTATGCAAACTGAATCATTCAAATTGGTATCGTTATTATTATCTGGTTTAACAGTATCTTGGTAAGTTGTCTCTGAAACAGTAGATTCTTCAGGATTAACAGTTGTTCCATCGGATTGATCAGGATTTGCAGTAGTAGTAGTAATAATAATAGTTTCATCATTTGGATTATCAGTTGAATGTTGATTATCTGTAGAAATAGGATTATCGGTTGAATTTGGATTATCGGTTGAATTTGGATTTTCGGTTGAATTTGGATTTTCGGTTGAATTTGGATTATCGCTTGAATTTGGATAATCGTTCGAATTTAAATTATCGGTTGAATTTGGATTATCTGTTGAAATTGGATTATCGGTTGAAWTTGGATTATCGGTTGAATTTGGATTATCGGTTGAATTTGGATTATCGGTTGAATTTGGATTATCGCTTGTATCTGGATTATCGGTTGAAATTGGATTATTGGTTGAATTTGGACTATCTGTTTCATTCGTATTATCAGTACTATCGGGTCTGTCAGTTCCTTTGGGTTTTTTAGTATGTTTATGTCTATCTGGTCTATCAGGTCTATCAGGTCTATCAGGTCTATCTGGTCTATCGGGTCTATCGGGTCTATCGGGTCTATCGGGTCTATCGGGTCTATCTGTTATATCTGTTATATCTTTTATATCACTAACATCTTTTATATTAGGAATATCATTACCTTTATTTTTATTAGGTTTTCGAGTTACGTGTTTGATTTCATCAGTTGTATCATCACCAGTAGTAGTAGTAGCATCATCAACTGGTTCAATTGCTGGTGTTGAAATATTATTATCATCCAGATCATTATTATTATCATCTTGTTTATTAGGTTTTGTAGTTTTATTTCGATCTGGATGACCTTGGTGTTTATTAGGTTTATTATTAATATCATCATAATCATGATCATTGTCACCATGGTCACCGAATGTTCTATTAGATTTAAATTTACCGCCAGTAAATTTGCCTCCTCCTCCTCCTCTACGCGTTTCATACCGTATACCTGTCCATTGCTTAACCTCTACGTAGACGACACCCAAATCGTATTTGAATTTATCGCAACCTTTTTGCATCATTTGTCGACACTTTTGCGGCTTAACACAGTCACCGTTATACGATCTCAACCGTCCCGGCATACAATAGCAACCCGGATCGCATTGCTGATCAACTGGTAGACCACCATCATGGGAACATCTCAATGGATTGTTCAATTTTTCGCAATGATTCAAACACCGATTACCGCATTCACGATAGACCTCATTTGGCGGACACTGTTTGGATTGTTCGGTTTTCGGTGGTACTACTTGTTGGCCCTGGGGTTTTGGTTTAGGCCTACCCGTACGGCTGTCACCTACAATATCGCAACCCTCCAACGGTACACAATCCCAGTTAAGATTGCGATAGTAGTTTTTATCGCAAAAACAGCCCATATGATACTGGTGCCATTTACATTGGACACTGGTACCAGCTTGGTGACAAAATTTGCCGCACTCAGTACCCCAGTAGTTAAATTTGGTATTTTTATAGATTTGACATGCTAATGTAATGTTTATTTTTTTGAAATATAATAAAATTAAAATTAATTAGATAATGTTTATTTTTATTTTTTTTAAAATTAATAAATTTTACTATTATAATAAAATATAATTTTATTTTACAGTAATAATAATTAACTTACATTTTTCCGAATCGCCACCAGTACATTGTATTAAAAATATTAGATTATTTAAAATTAATAAATAATATACTAATATTAATAATAGTTTTACTATCATTATTTATAATAGTTCAATTATTTTATTTTTTTTAAATATTATATTATATAACCTCACAATATAGTTGAAATATTATTTTAAAAATATCTATCATAGATCTATATATAGATACAGTTTTGAATTTTAGTATTAAAACTTAAAATTATTCATGATAAATTAATAGTTGTTTATTATTATTATTATTATTATTATTATTATTTTAAACAGACGCCATTATAATTTATATATTAAATTTTAAGAAATTTTTTTTCTATATGTTATATTTAAAAAAACTAATGAATCGAAATTAATTAAAGAAAAAAATTATAATTTTTAATTAATCAAAATGTTTTACATCAATAACGATTATTAAATTATATTATTAACATTATATAATAATAAACTATGTAAAATTTTTGTTATATATTATTTGAATTCAAATATAAATTTATCTTAAATTACTAAAAAATATAATAAGTTGAATAAGTTTATATAAAAAAAAACTATTTAAAAATTATTTTTTACTACACTATATTTTTAAAAATATATTTTATATTTAATTTAAAAAAAAAATAATTTCTTAGTTTAAATATAATATCAATAGAGTTCAGTAATTTGAAAATATACTGTAATTTATAATTATAATTGTTATGTTATGTTATGTTATATATTTTTTTGCTATTATTTAGCAATATTAGCAAAAATTTGAAATAAATTGTTTGATTTTGATTTAAAAATTATTATTAAAAATTAAAACTATACTATTTAATTAATACGATTGATAAATACTACTAGTAATAGTAAAATAGTATTTTTATTATTTTGACAAAATTATCTAAATTAATCTTAGCTAGGTAAATTATAATTCATTGTGACTATTGATATCATAATTATCAACAATAGCATCATTATCATCATCATTAGTATCCAACCAATTAACCCACGCTCCTCCATGTCTATCGGGATAACTGTCTGAATCGGCAGCTGTAAGCGCCAGTGGCTCTACGGCTGTCCTATTCAGGTGTTGTATTCGTCGCCACATATAGTCCACTAAATCGTGGTTATCGGCGGCAATGTTCCGATGTTCGCACGGATCACGTCCGACATCAAACAAACACAACTCCCGATCCGTTTGACAATCGTATAGACTATTGTCGACTGTGATAGGCCTAGACTGAGGACAGGTAACGATTGCTTGATTGAGAACCTGATAATCGGGCCGGCGATTCATTGACGTCAATATACGGTATGTTCGACTAGTTAGCCGATCGGTACGTTTAAGCTTATCCAGAGTTGGCTGATCAAAGTCAATATGTTGACTGTCCTCTGCTGGTATGGTTGGAAACCATTGCTGTCCATAGTCTACACTCCATGAATCGCTGGGACCCTGTACCAATTTCCAATTGTACCATCTAATTGCTGAATGATTATACACTGAATCAATATTATGCAATAGTTCGGTACGCTGTGATACATGTCGATTGGATAGAGTTTTCCATTGTGACATACCTGTGCAACAATGGTGTGGGTGGGTGGATATCAATTATTAGTTAAACAAAAAAAACTAAGCATCATAAATATAAGTTTTATATTTATACTGTACCATAACTTATGTTATTTTTGGTAAATTCCTTTAAATTACTGTCGCCGCCAATTGCCTCCAATAGTGTGGGTATAATATCGGTAACGTGTATGAGTTCATCGGACACGTAGCCACTGGTGTTGAACAGTGGACTCCATATGAATGTCGGCACACGAATACCTGTAGTTTAGAAAATAATAAAATGTATTTTTTTTAAAAAAACAAAAATGTTTTTTTTTCAAAAACTTATATTAAAATAGATTAATAAGTTTAGTTATTTTTTAGTAAATTTTTCATATTGTGTGGGTGTGTCTATTGATTAAACTTACCTCCCTCAAACAATAACGATTTTGCACTACGCAATGGTACAGTTGAACCATAATTAGCTAGAATCGGTAATAATAATAATAATTTATTAATATATATATTAATAAATTAAATTTATATACAAAATAGATATATACAAAATGCATTGGTAAAGTTTATAGCTAGCGGTCCGTTATCACTGGTAAACACAATAATACTGTTGGCCAACATTGACCGGTCGTATAGTTTGCCAACAATATTGCCAATCGATTCGTCCATACAGTAGGCCATAGCGGCATACGTTCGGCGATTCTGTGACCCTATATGTGCAAACCGTTTCATATAGCTATCGGGCGGCGCCTGTACGATATTGTTGGCATAGCTGGCATGCAGGGACTGGTAGGCAACATACAGAAACAATGGTCTACTGATATTGTGATTGCGTATAATATCTATTGTTTTATTAGTATAGACTAGAGTTGAATACTCGTCCGGTTGATTAGTTAATAGTTTCAAATTGTGCCGGTAGTCTAGGCCACAGTGATCGTATGATTGATAAATAGCACCCGTACACATGGTATGATTATAGTAGTCACCGAAACCACCCCACGTACCAAAATGAGAGTCAAACCCCCGATAGGTGGGCGTGTATTCACGTTTATAGAAACCCAAATGCCATTTACCTGACGAAAAAAAATTAAAAAACTTTTTTTTTTAAATATTTATATTCATTATTTTACTTATTAATATAGTGTACAGTATACTAGAGTCTAGACACCCCCTCATAATCTGTAAGTGTAGGTGTATTAGTGTAAAAGTATTCACGTTTAATACAGTACAACAAAAATAAAAGTTTAGTCTCTAATATACAATACTTTATTGATATACTATTAGTAAATATGATATATTAACATACAGTTCAAATTATTTTACTGTACTGTTACAATGATTAGTAAATTTTTTAATTTTAAAAAGTTTTAGATGTACTCTATAACTAGTTTTACTGTATTGTATGATATATTGAATATATATATACTTTATTATAATTAATTTCTATTATAAATTCATAATTGTTTCTAAATATTTAGATATTTTTTTCAAAAAATTTTATTTATATACTACTAACCGATAGCATGTGTTGCATAATCCGATTGTTTGAGATACTCGGGCAGCAGTTTGTGGTCTAATGGGTAGCCAATAGGTGTGGCGTCATTGAACACCTGGTACTGAGTACCTGAGTGTATGGGATGTATACCCGATAACAGTGCACCGCGACTGGGCGTACATAACGGTTGAGTATAATAACTGTTTAGTGTTATACCATCGGCCGATAGGGAGTCGATATTAGGTGTCAGCATATGATCGGAACGGTAGCCCACGTCAGACCATCCCATATCGTCCACCAAAAAAATTATAATATTTGGCGGCATTTGATTAGCAGTTGTTGTTATTAATGTATTGCATATTATTACTAAAAATACTAATTGACTAATTGTTATACACATATTTGATAACATTTTTATTTTTTTATATATATTAATAATTAGTTAATAGTTAATTTATAACTTAAAGTTATTTTTTAACTATATTTTTAAAAAAATGTTTTGAAAAATCATACTATTCATACAAAAAAATAGTATAATTTTAGTAAATCAAGTAAGAGTTTTCATTTGTAAAAAAATTATTAAATATTTGCTATAAACTAAACTTTCAATTTTATAAAATTTATATAATTTTATTTTATAAAAAAATTCTTTACTATTTAATTGTTATCAATGACACTAAATATTTGCTTCAATCATACAATGATTTTTATAAATATAAATTATACTAAACTGTATAAATGTATACAAAAAAAATTTGTATAATACAATGTTTGTCATTTATTTTTTCAATCTAACACTATATAGCGCCACCTTATTATTAAATAAAGTTAAAAATTAATAACATATATACCAAATAGATTAGATAGCATTTTTTATTTAATTTTTATTATAATAACTTTTAATAATAATTTTTTATATATAATAAAATTTATAATTTCTAAACTTTGAATTAGTTTAAAAAAATTACAAAACAAACAATATATTCTATAAATTATAAAATACTGTATTATTATTATAAAGTATAATAAACTTATTTTATACATTATATTTATTTCAAACTTAATTTTTTAACAATATATTAATTGAATCTAATATTAATATTTGACTGATTGATAATACACGTTTTTTATAAAATTAAATATTATATATTGAAATAAAAAAAATAAATATGTTTGTAATTTTAATAAATAAATAATTGTATTACAAAATATTAATAATAAAAATAATAGAATATTATTACTAAGTAAGTATAATCAAATAACATCTATAAAAATATTGTTTTATTTTTAAAAAAATGAGTTTTAAGTAAATTTAGTTAAAAAAACAAAATTATTATTTATTTTCACTATTTTACAACTAAATCAAAGCCAATTAACCCAAGCTTGTCCATGTCTATCGGGATAACCGTTTTGATCACCCGGTGTCAGTGCCAATGGCCAGACTGCCGACTGATTTAATTTTTGTAGTCTATTCCATAAATATGATACTAAATGCCTGTTTTTAGAGGCAATGTTCCGATGTTCGCACGGATCGCTTCGGATATTAAACAAACAAAACTCCCGATCCGATTGACATTGATGTCCACCACCACTGATATCAGTTTCGGTGGTTGAGGACACTGACTGACAGTTAGTTATTGCCGATGTTTCTAATAGATTGTAATCAGGAAGCGGTCTGTGCATTGCCGTCAACACACGGTATGACCGACTAGTCAGACGATCGGTGTGTTTGAGCCGATCTCTGGCCGATTGATTCATATCTATACGCTGACTATCGTCAATGGGTATGGTTGGATACCACTGGCTAAGCATATATGCCAGATTAGGATCACTAGGTCCCTGTACCAATTTCCAATTATACCATCTAATCGATGACTGGTTCCAAACAGGGTCTATATTGTGCAATAGTTCGCTACGTTTTGTCCCCATACGTTTCGATAGGGTCTGCCATTGAGACATACCTGTGCGCTCAGTCAGTATAAATTAATATTAATAATTATAGTTAAATATTTTTTAATATGCAAATAATGTATTATATATATATATACCATAGCTGTTTGTATTATTGGTAAATTCATTCAACTGAGTATTGTTGGCAATACCGCCAATTGCCTCCAATAGTGTGGGCATTATATCGGTAACGTGTATGAGTTCATCGGACTGGTAGCTACTGGTGCTAAGCAATGGACTCCATATGAATGTCGGCACACGAATACCTGCAAATACCGTATAACATAAGTTATATAAAAATAATGTTTTTAATTAAAAAAAATTATAAATAAAACTAACCTCCCTCAAATAAGGAAGTTTTAACACCACGCAATGGTACATCTGATCCAAAATTAGCTAGAACATTTGTTAGAGTAGTATTATAATAAATATATTGTAAATATTTACTAATGGATTAATTATGATGAAAAATTATACTTTTTTTTGTTTAACATTTAATAATAATGTACAGTTAAATAGATTTTTTTTAAATAAAAATTACATATTTAATCATATATAGTAATATATGATATTAATTAAATACATACAAAATACGTTGGGTATATTGATAGCCATTGGTCCGTTATCACTGGTAAATATAATGATACTGTTTGACAACATTGACCGGTCATATAGTTCGCCAACAATATTGCCAATCGATTCGTCCATACAGTAGGCCATAGCGGCATACGTACGGCGATTCTGTGACTCTATATGTGCAAACCGTTTCATATAGCTATCGGGAGGCGCCTGTAGTATATTGTCGGCATAGCTGGCATGCAGGGACTGGTAGGCAACATACAGAAACAATGGTCTATTGATGTTGTGATTGCGTATAATATCTATAGTTTTATTAGTATAGACTAGAGTTGAATACTCTTGCGGTTGGTTAGTTAACAACTCCATATTGTGCCGGTAGTCTAGGCCACAGTGATCGTATGGTTTGCCAATAAAACCCGAGCACATGGTATGATTATAGTAGTCACCGAAACCACCCCACGTACCAAAATGAGAGTCAAACCCCCGATAGGTTGGTGTATATTCACGTTTATAAAAACCCAGATGCCATTTACCTAGTATCATTTTTTAAAGAAAATACAATAATAATAAAATAATTTATAAAAAAATAAAGTAATTTTTAAAAATTATTATTGCTAATGTATATTGTAGATAACTAATTATGTTAATCTTATTTAATAAAAAATATCAAAAAAGGACCTTATAATTTAATCAAATAGTCAAAAATTTAAATAAAAATTTATTTAAATTATTATTATTTTTTAAACTATTAATAATTAACATTTTTATAACAAAATTAATAAGATCATTTTTTTATAGTATATAAATAAAATAATATAGACATTATAATTAACTTTATTATTAATTTAAATTTTAAATATATACTTAAAAATAGTAATTATGATCTAATATATAATTATTCTTATCTTAGTTTAGTTATATCTTTAAAATAAATTCAATTTTATTTAAGAATTTAATTTATTTTTAAGTTTAAGTATTATTTTTAGATTAATTTAAATTATTTATCTATTATTACTAACCGATAGCATGTGTTGCATAATCCGATTGTTTGAGATACTCGGGCAACAGTTTGTGGTCTAACGGGTAGCCGACTGGTGTGGCCTCGTTGAACACCTGGTACTGAGTACCGGCGTGTATGGGATGTATACCCGATAACAGTGCACCGCGACTGGGCGTACACAGCGGTTGAGTATAAAAACTGTTTAGTGTTATACCATCGGCCGATAGGGTGTCGATATTAGGTGTCAACATGTGATCGGAACGGTAGCCCACGTCCGACCATCCCATATCGTCTACCAAAAAAATTATAATATTTGGCGGCAATTGATTGGTAGTTGTTATTATTATTATTGTATTGCATAGTATTATAAATACTAGAATAATTGTTATACAGATTTTGGGCAACATTTTTTTTTGTTGGCAAATATTTTTGTTATTTACAAATAATTAATTAAACTATATATATTATTTATTAATATTATAAAAAAATAAATAAAATTCATTTGTTTATAAAATTATTTATCAATATTTATAATGTTGCCAACACTACTAGTTGTTATATAACTGTATATATACAGTAATTTATCTAATATAATGTATTCATCTAAATGTTTGTCTGTTTATTATAATAATAATACAGTAATAATAATAATACTGTGTATATGTATAATATATACAGTATACATAAATATATTGTATAATCTAATAAATAGTAATTAGTAAAAATTTTTTACTAACAAACAATAATAATAATTATATTATTTTATAATTATTCAAAAAAAGTAAAATACTATTATTCAATATTATTTAATAAAATATTTACTATTAACAGTAGATGCATAAAATAACAATTTATTTGTTATTTATCAATGATTTTTTGAAATTTTATTAAAAGTGCTAATGCATCTAATTAATTAAAATAAATAAATTTATTTTAATGTAATTTTAAAATAATTTATTTACTATTTATAATTATTATTTATTATATTAGGATTATTTGATTTTTGTTGGTATAATTTACTTTTAACTGATAATTACAATTTTTATGTATTAATTGTAAATATAACGACTATTATAAAGTATATTCATTTTATTTAATAATATATAGAAAATTTAATTTTATTAATTTTTCAATTATTACTATTATTAGTACAAATTTTATTAATTTACTAATAGTAGTTCAAATACTCACTATTATCTATTACTAGTAAAAAAATACTAATAATAGCTAATATAATATTGTAATAATATAAATAATAATAATATCTTAATAAATAAATTGCTTAACTTTAATCAGTTTATATACATCCTTATTAATTATTAAGTTTTATATAACTATAAGTTCTTAATATTTTATTTATCTTGATCAATTATCGTTAATTATCAATAATAAGTAATGATTATTTTATTTCCTATTATTAATTAAATTTAACTTAGGTTTAAATTTATTATTTTATACTTAAGTCTTATATTTTTACTTAATAAAATTAATAAGTTTTTAGTTAAAATTGATTAATTAAAAAATTAAAAACTATTTATTTTTTAAAAAAAAAATATTTATAATTATATTATATTAGTTAATTATTTTATACTATATTTTTTGTAGATTATAATATATTTAACAAAAAAAAATAAAAAATAATATGAAAAATAAAATTGTATAACTTATCTAAAAAAACTAATCCACAATTACATAATTATCATTTTTTTTAAAAAAAGTTCTAAATTTATCTGAAAGTGTGCTTGATAAAAGTTTAACTGTTTTAGTACATTTAAGTTAATTATTACAAAAAAAATACAATCATTTATAATAAGATTAATTAAAAAAAATTACCCGACATGAACTAGAAACGTGTGTTTGATATGATATATATATATTGATATTAAATTTATAAGTAAAAGTGATAAAAGTTTTTTAGTCGGATTGCACTAAAAAAATAGAAAATTACCTGTTATTGCAATTATATATATATATTATTTTTGTAGTTAAGGTATAAATAGTGAAAACAAATTTTATAATAAATCATAAATTTGTCATAAATAAGTTAAAAAACTTATTATTATTTTTAAAAAAATCATGAAATTTGTCATCGCACTTTTAGCACTGTTTGTCTATGGTAAATATATATAAATATAGATTAATTAAAAAAATTATAAAATAATTAGCTATATAAATCATTATTAAATTATTATTATTATTATTAACAACAATAGCCGTATCGGCCGCACCCACATCGGGACCGTCGGGCAGCACTCGCTCGCCGTACGACAAGTCTGAACTTGAGCGTCGGGCCCGAACACTTGAGGCCCGATTGGAAAACGATATCCAACGTCTACAGGAAGTACATAAACTGACCCGCGAGGAACTGGTCAATCTGGTCGGTCTGGACGGTGAACTACGTATATTGTCGGCCGAACTGGCATTGGCCCGAAAAGACGATGAATTACTTAGACTGGAGAAGCGATTGGATGCACTGGAAAATGCTGTCGAAGCCGAGTTGAAACGTATTGAAAAATTGTTGACATCGCCTACAGCTGGCCCACAGCCAACTTCGGCCGCACCTCAACCAACTACTGGTGCACCGGCATCAACAAGAAAATAGATTTTTTTTAAAGTTTTTATTTAATTAAAAAAAATAAAGTTGTTAGCTAAAAATTAACAAATAAATATTTTATTAATTAATTAATTTTAAAAAATCATTGTATTTAACTTTATTATCTATCATTAATGTAGTAAATATAAGTACAGTATAAAGCATAAGCAAACAAACAAAAAATCATGAAAATAAAGTTATCAAGCAAATATAAAGTTTATTTATAATACAATACAAATTATATCCATTTTATATGATGTGAATAATATGTTAGTATTCAATATTTCCAAAATTGAAAATATTTTTTTTGAAACTAAAAAAAAAATCTCAATAAATTTATACTGTTTTATATTTTTTGAATATTATATATTTATATACTGTATAAATGTGAAGGTTATGTTTTTCTATTACTAAAATCAAATAGCTTACCTTGTCATCTACAATATGATTAAATTAATCGATAAATTAACTAGATCATACAATGACACATATATTTATTAAATTATATATATACTAAATTTGGGCTAAAATTATGATTTTATCTATTAATTATAATTTATAGATTCTATTCATTTATAATTTAATGTTTATATAATAATAATAACTAAAAATAAAATTATTAAATTGTTTATATTAATAATTAACAAAATTTTTATTGTTATTGCATCGTTTATTTAGTATGAATCATTTTTTTAAAAAATGTGATAGCTAATGTGACTAAATACTGTATATCTTTAACCTGTCAATTGTCAATTAATATCAGCTAATAATAAATTATGATTCATAATAATTGACATAAATTTTCAAGTAGACTATAATGATCATTGATGAAAATAAAAATATATACTTAGAAAATTATTGATGCTATTTATAGAGTGACCAAATGATGCTATGTTTTAAAATAAAATATAGATAAAACATAAAAAATTTATAATTAGATATATAGCTATATAGTTTGAAAATTGTATTCTATAAGTTTAGTTTGTTCATAAATAATAATTAAAATTTATTTTTGATAATTATTTTTTATTAAATTATTGAATTTTTTATAGATTTTAATTAATTAGATGAACTAAAAATGATTTTTATATTTGGTAACTCTATAATGTATTGTTTATCTTATCAATAAATAAATACATTAATTGAAGAAATGATCAAAAAGAAATTATTGTATTTTATGGTGCAATAGTGCCAATCCTAAGAAAAATATTATTAAATTGTTAATTAATTAATTTTATATTTAAAAAAATCGTATAAAAGTAGTCAATTTTTTTATATAATAAAATATAAACTAAATTATTAAAATTTTAATTAATTATTATTAAACATAGTCATCATACATAAGCATCAATTATGAAAGTGTTTCTAACATTTCTAGTATTGTTTATTTCGGGTAAACTAACTTTTAATTAATAAATAAATAAATAAGCATGCTAAATAATTTTATATTTTTAATATAATTAATTTTTTTAAAAATTAAAAATGGTATTTTATTATTTTAATTTATACTAATATTTTTTCTAAATGTATGTTTAGCCGCATTATCAGCACCCGATGGTTATCGGTTACGGGATGATAAAGCGGAACTGGAGAAACGTGCGGCCGAACTGGAACTCCGTATCGAACGGGATATCCGACGATTGGAAACTGAACACAAACTAACTCGTCAGGAGTTGGTCCGATTGGTCGAGTTTGACGGTGCACTGCGTATACTGTCGGCCGAGTTGGCCATAGCCGTAGAGCCGCATCGTATCGCCGAAATTGAGCGCCGATTGAAACGTTTGGAGGACGATGTCGAAGCCGAAGTGCAGCGACTAGAACGACGATTGTCTACACCGGCGCCGCCAACCACTAGTGCACCTACTACTAGAGCTCCGGCACCGACAACCAGAGCACCTACTACTAGACCTCCGGCACCAACAACTAGAGTACCTACTAGTAGAGCTCCAGCACCGACAACTAGAGGACCTACTAGTAGAGCTCCGGCACCGACAACTAGAGGACCTACTAGTAAAGCTCCGGCACCGACAACTAGAGGACCTACTAGTAGAGCTCCAGCACCGACAACTAGAGGACCTACTAGTAAAGCTCCGGCACCGACAACTAGAGGACCTACTAGTAAAGCTCCGGCACCGACAACTAGAGGACCTACTAGTAGAGCTCCAGCACCGACAACTAGAGGACCTACTAGTAAAGCTCCGGCACCGACAACTAGAGGACCTACTAGTAAAGCTCCGGCACCGACAACTAGAGGACCTACTAGTAGAGCTCCGGCACCGACAACTAGAGGACCTACTAGTAAAGCTCCGGCACCGACAACTAGAGGACCTACTAGTAGAGCTCCGGCACCGACAACTAGAGCACCTGCACCATCGACTAGAGCTTAAGCAATAATATTTTCAAAAACATATATATATAGTAAAAATAAATATCATAGAAAAGTTTATGTACATCAATTATTTTTAGCTATTTATTAATTTAACTTAATATTTATTTTTTAAATTATAGTTAGACTAATAAAAATAATTTAAAATTATAGTTTTTCAGATGATTATTATTATTATTAATAAAAATATTGTATAATCTAAAGTATTAAAAACAAATATTAGAAATGTTAATCTAATATTTTTTTGTTTTTTAAATTTTGATTGTTGTTATTTATAATCAAATATAAGTGATTGCTAATATTTCAATAAAATTATCTTTAAATATTATTTTATTAGTCATAACTAAAAATTAGATTTGATTATAATTTATATTGAATTTAATAATCTAATAAATAAAATAATACTGTAATCATTTGTCAATAATCTTATATACATTGAATAAACAGTTTTAATCTTATAATTTATTAATATAAAAAATAATAATAATAATAATAATAATAATAATAAGACTTTATTGGCATCACTTTCAGTTATAAAACTGGTATACATAGTAAGCCATAATAGACTTTAATAATTACAACAATGAAATAACAATAAATATAAATTATAGATATTATCAAAATTAAAATTTTTTAAATAATTTTTAAAATCTTTAAGAATTCTCTCATATAAAGTAAATTATTCCAATGTTTAACTCCTTTTACAAAAATGCTGTTTTGAATATAATTATTAATTTTCGGTAAATTAATATAATTATCATGAACTAGTACGGTGTGTGTTGTATTTAAACAAAATTGTTATTTAATCCAAATAGCTTTATATATATATTAATTTAACAGAATTTGTAAAAGAAATCCAATTTAACTTTTGAAACAAAGGTTGAGAATTATCCGTAAAACTTGATTTAGTTATTACTCTTGCAAATCGTTTTTGTAGTTTTATTAACGGATCTAAATGTGTGTTATATGTATATCCAAATAATATACATCCGTATTCTAGTTTTGGTTTAACAATAGATTTGTAGATAAAATTTAATGTTTTTTCAGGTAAAATATGCGCTAATCGTGACAATAATTTTAGTCTAGTGTTTAAACATTTACATAAATCATTTATGTGATCATTAAAGTTAAGCGAGTGATCAATAGTTAGTCCTAAAATTTTTGTTGATTTTACTTCAATAATAAATTTTTCGTCAATTTTTACATTAATGTTGTGATTAATGTTTTTTAAATTGCATTTTTTATGATTTAATATAAGATAATTACTTTTTAACCAATTATTAATTTTTGATAAATCATTTTAGTTTGAAGTTTCAAATTGTTTTTTGCTTTAATTATATATCATCGGCAAATATTAACTTTCCATTTAGCTGTAGATTTGTTAATGTTTATATCTGAAACCAATGGTTTTGATAATTTATTATTTATAGTTTTATATAAGATATGATTCAAACCATTTAATTGTATTGATATCACAATAGTTTTTTAGTTTTTCAATTAAAATTTTATGATTTATAAATCAAAAGCAGATTTTATCAAATTATATCATTATTATTTAGTCCATTAGTTATATCATTTAAAATAGATATTAATGCATCATTTGTTGAATGTTTAGCTTTAAAACCAAACTGATAATTGGATAATAAATTGTTTTCATTTAAAAAATTACGAAAATTTATTTCAACAAACTATTAAACTACAAAATAAACCTTAGGTATTGTAAGTTACAGTAAATATGATACTGAATTTTAGACAAAATTTTAATTAATCAATGATTTATTAAAAATTTTTATAATTTCATTTGTTTTTTTTGTTTTATTTATTTAATTTTGTATAGTATAGTAAATTTATAATCAAGGTTAATGCGGACATATAAAAAATAAAAAAAATTGTATTTTATATTTAAGTTAAAAAATATTTTTATATTTTATACAGATATATAYAATAATTTATATAAAATTAAACTTTTATCAATAACTTATAGTTTTTTATCGGTACATTATTTTTTAATGCTATTATCATCTATTGCTTATTATTAATATATTTGTCTACATTTATTAGTAGTTTATTATTTCTAATATTAAGTTTATCTTATTCTAGTGTTTTCTTCAATAATAATAATAGTTATAAAAAGCAACTTAACATTTATAAACTACTAAATCAATATAATATCAATATTTAAGCTATAAATAATAGGATAACATTTTGATTGAGATAATTATTAAAACTTTCAATTGGTTTCAGTTATTACTTGTATTTATTTATGCCTAAACTAATGGCACATATTGTGCAATACCGGTAAATATAATATTTCAGAGAAATTTTTTAAAATTTAATTTAATAAGTTATTTATTAAATAGTTTACGCAATAAACAAATAAAAAATAAATGTTTTTTAATTTACACTAATTATTGTTGAAAAATAATCTAGATAAAAAATAATAATATTGCAATTTTAATTATAAGTTAACCAATTAAATTAATATTAACTAAAAAAATCCTATCTACCTTGATCATTTATTTTATCTACAACTCTATCTATCACTCATTTACTTTTTTTTCATACAAACAGATAAAAAACATAAACGATATAAAAAACAAAATAATTATTAAAAAATAGTAAATTTATCTATATATATAAAAGATTAAAAGTATTATAATCAACAAAAATGATCTTTTATAAAATTGAACATAATGTACTTATTGGTAATACACAAAAAAAATAATATTTTTATAAAAAATAGCACGTAGTCAAAATTAATATTATATTATTATTATTTATATTACTTATTTTTTTACTAATCCATCAATGTTAATATTTTATTGATAAGTTATAACACGGATCTTAATTAATCAATCAGTTATTTACTAATTAAAATAAATCAAATACTGTACAAATAATATATAGTTTCGCAATTAGTTAATCAAGCACAGTTATGCAATTAATTTTTTGTTTTTGATAATCAAAATTTTAGTATTTTATTTTTTTATATAAAAAGACAATTTATTTTCTTTTTAAAAAATTAAAGTTTTTAAAGTTTAAGAGAACATTTAGATAGAGAAAAAAAACTTTACAAATAAAATAATGAAATTATTGTTAATATTAGGTTTTGTTGGTGTTATTTGCTGTATGTATTGTTTAATACATTTTCTACCACTATTATAGCATAGATTTTAAATAAAAAAAATTTTGTTGTTAACCTACAGGTGCAACACTAGTTAAACGTGATATCAAAGATGATCTGTTGAAAAAAGCCGTAGAATTGGAGGCGAAAGCGGCCGAAGAGGTCAAGAAACTTGAGGCCGAGGGTCGCAAACATGAAGCGGAAATGCTTAGCCGTGAGGCTAATGTACTCAAACGTGTGGCCGACGAACTAGAGAAAGCTACCGACCAGAAACAAATTGAACACTTGGAACGGGAACTGCAGTTTATTGAGCACCGATTGGACGAAATTATTAAACACGACGAACGCACACACCCTCCGCATCCGACACATCCGACAGCGCCGCCGACTACCAGTGCGCCTCAAATAGATAAGCGCGATATCAAAGCCGAACTGTTGAAACGGGCCCAAGAGTTAGAGGTGAAAGCCGAAGCCGAGGCCAAAAAACTGGAAGCCAAAGGCGAACATAGAGAAGCCCAACAGCTCAGACACGAGTTAGCCGAACTGAAACGGTTGGCCCACGAATTGGAAGTCGGAACCGACGTCCGAGTCATTGAACATCTGGAGGTTCGGCTACTGGAACTGGAGAACCACATTGAAGATATCATACGACGCGATGAACAAACTAGACCACCGCATCCGACACATCCGCCCAAACCCACTGACACACCAGCACCGACTGGATCATCCTATATACAGAAGCACAACGATATCAAGGATGACCTATTAAAACGGGCAGCCGATGTTGAAAAGTTGGCAACCGATGAAATTAAGAAACTAGAATCGGACGGCCGTAAACACGAGGCCCAACTACTCAGTCATGAAGTTGAAGCCGTCAAACTAGTGGCCAAACGGCTGGCAGAGGCCAAAGAACAACACGAAATCGATCGGTTGGAAGTGGAATTGTTGGTCATCGAGAATCGGGTAATTGAATTGATTAAACGCGATGAACGCACACCCAAACCGCATCCCACAAAACCCGCACCGTCTACTACTAAGGCTTATTAAGTCTTGTCTATATTGTTATTATAGTTTAAACTTTAAAACATTTAAAAAATAATACTTTATTAATTAAAGCTAATAATAATAATTATTATTATTTTATAATAAATAATTATTTAAATAAATAAACAATTTGTTTTTACAACATTATATTTATTTCAAATTGTAAATATTTTAATTTTTGTGCATGTATTTTATTTCAATTAAATTGTCCATGATATTTTTAATTAGTTTCAATTTGCATTAATTTTTCTTAATTAAACAATAACTATAATATATTAAATTGTTGTGCCTGACGTTGTATGTTTGAACACAACTTAGAGGAATAGGAGCACCGGTTGTTATGCGTGGGTCGGTATGAGACCTACAACCGATTATCAACCAATTCCTTATAGATTATCACCTGAAGGGTCGGTATGAGACCTATCTGATGATAAAAGGGTAGATCACTTGCAGTAGTGGTGGCCAAGCGTAAAGCTAGAGCTGATTCCAATCTGGATGTCTGTCCTATCTCTTGATATCACGCGATACGGAACGGTAGGTTAGAGTTGATGGACAACCGGGTTGTATGTATGTCTTGAATGATATGGACAACCGGTTGGACTCTTGAAATGAGAGTTTCAATGATGATAATAGCGATGGTAATGAATCGTATGATTAACACAGGTATAAGATAATTATAACAATTTATTGATTAGTTTAAGACAGTTGAGGATACAATGGATTGTATGGTTAAAATGGTGCTATCAGTGGAGCACATGTATGATGTGAGTACAGTATTGTATGAGAGTCAGTATGACTGCTATGTATGACGGCTGGCACTGTACTAAAGTATGTGTATACTGTAGTACAGTATTTATAGTGTTTGAGAGAGGACGGGTAGGTATAGGGAATGGTTAGCTATCATTGGATAGTTTGAATGTGGGAACCGTTGAACAGTTAGTTTGGTGCCAGAGGTCTGAGGTCAGCAACCGGTAAGTATAAGGAACTGTATAATCGATTGAAAAGCAATACTAAGAATTTAGCACAAAAATAGGATATAAAATAAATGTATACAAAATTACTGGGAATTTAAATACAAAAATAATTTATAACTAAATTAGCTTAAGGTAATGTAGTGGACACTACACTCCCCGGCGGTTTAAGACTGGTCAAAGAGTTAAACGGTTGAGTGAGACGATGTGGACCAGGAGTGAGACGTTTAGCCGGTTGTGATGGATGTCCGCGTTGAGTCCGGTAATTGGAGTCGAGGTGTGTTACGGAATCGTAGAGTGGGAGAGTTGGATGGGATGCGATGGATATTACCGGAAATATGTTTGTTGTATGTATCGATGCGTGAGAGTCGGGACTGTTGAGGGCGAATAACCGGATGTACAGCGCGTGGTGGTGTACCGGTACTAGTAGTTGTGATGTCCCTTAAGTAATGCCGATGTTTGTATGGATGCAATGGTTTTGCGGCATTAGTAGTCGTATTGATTGAACGGTAGTCTTTACACAAGCGAGGTTTTCCGTCTGTATTCAGCGTCGAAGTGATCGGTAAAGCGTTACGTCTGTCCCGAGAAACATGGATTTGGTGATCTTTCACTTGACGTGCAGCTTTGGCTGCAAATGGATGCGATTGACGGGTGCGCTGTGCGGTGGACTGTTGGTCTATCTTTACGATGCGGTGCTTTTGTTTGTATATATGGCCATTGGATTTGTTAGGCAACCGGTTTGGAGAAGGTATACGTCTGATGAGATTGCAGTAACCGGTTGATGGCCCTGAAGTGGATGAGTTTCTCTGTTGTTGCCATTTGAATGATACGGTTTGTGTCTGTGTGTCAATGATGACACCGTATTGGCCAAGAGATTGGAGAGATAGCAGTAATGTGTAATGAAATCCGTTGATGACCTGTGCTTTGATGGTGCGGGTCATCCGATTGATGGTTAAGTCAAATGTGACTTCTCCGAGAGTACGAGCTGATCCACGCGCCAGTGATACGTCGGTAGAGCGGCGGCGGTCAATATGGAGTCGGAGGTGTTTGACGACATCTAATGGTATGATGTCTACAGTTGATCCGGGATCGGCGAAGGCTGATAGCTCGAAGCGATTGATGCGGCCCGGGATCAATATCATATCCAGTGGTTTGGCTTCGGTAGCCATAACTTTGTTACGGATTAGATGTGAAGATGCGGCTGATATATGGGTAGGTGGTCCATTTGTGGAACCTGTGTTTGGATTGATAGCTGCTGGAGAACCAGATTTGTTTGGGCAATCCTTATGGTAATGCCATGAAGTGATGCCAAGATCTCTGCAGATACGGCAGGAATAGGGCGGACGTTGTTTGTCTTTGTTGTCGCGTTTAGGTAACCGGTTGTCATTTCGTTTGTCATCTGTGTAATGTGATGATCCGTGAGGTCGGTTGATGCGGTTACCGGTTCGTTGCTTGTCGGTCTCGATGTCCTGAGCCATCTCGAGCCATTGACTGGGAGTCTTGAAGCGTCGGCCATAGAAGTATTCACGGTATTCAGGGAGTAGGCCTTCCGTGAGTAGGTTTGCTCTTTGAGTGTCGGTATAGTTTTGGAGACGTCTTAGGATCTCCATTTTATCATCGAAGTATGCGCGGATTGACTCCGATCGTTGTTGGCGCCGGCGGTTGGCGGCCACTTCTGGAGGAATGTCCAGTCGGGTATATCGGTTGGTAAGCAGTTGCTTAGCTTTAATCCAATTGATGGATCTGTCGATGAGTAGATCTGAGCCGTAATAGTTGGCTGCGTCTGATTCGAGGAACTCAACGATTTTGATGAGTTTGTTATCATCTGTGAGATGAGCGAAGACTCTGTCGAAGATTAAGAGGAATGCTTCGATACGTAGAGATGAGTCTTTAGTACCATTAAACTTTGGTATCTTCACTGAGAGCATCGGTGCTGAGCCAGTGGTAGAGGATCCGGTGGTTACTGAGTTACCGTTTGTACCGATTGGTACACAATTAGATGAGATACCGGTTGTGTTGTCTGCGATGGCATTAACCGGATTTAGTGTATCGTTGTCTTCACCATTGATGGACATGTCTGATGTGTTGTTGGTTACTGTGTTGTCTGAATCGCTATTAGTTGAGATATCTCGTCGAAGATATGGAGTTCCGTGTCTAGTGAACCCTGTATTGATAGTCGTCATCCAATACGCGAAGATATGGATCTTTTAATGATCTGTGCCGACTGCGCCAATTGTTGTGCCTGACGTTGTATGTTTGAACACAACTTAGAGGAATAGGAGCACCGGTTGTTATGCGTGGGTCGGTATGAGACCTACAACCGATTATCAACCAATTCCTTATAGATTATCACCTGAAGGGTCGGTATGAGACCTATCTGATGATAAAAGGGTAGATCACTTGCAGTAGTGGTGGCCAAGCGTAAAGCTAGAGCTGATTCCAATCTGGATGTCTGTCCTATCTCTTGATATCACGCGATACGGAACGGTAGGTTAGAGTTGATGGACAACCGGGTTGTATGTATGTCTTGAATGATATGGACAACCGGTTGGACTCTTGAAATGAGAGTTTCAATGATGATAATAGCGATGGTAATGAATCGTATGATTAACACAGGTATAAGATAATTATAACAATTTATTGATTAGTTTAAGACAGTTGAGGATACAATGGATTGTATGGTTAAAATGGTGCTATCAGTGGAGCACATGTATGATGTGAGTACAGTATTGTATGAGAGTCAGTATGACTGCTATGTATGACGGCTGGCACTGTACTAAAGTATGTGTATACTGTAGTACAGTATTTATAGTGTTTGAGAGAGGACGGGTAGGTATAGGGAATGGTTAGCTATCATTGGATAGTTTGAATGTGGGAACCGTTGAACAGTTAGTTTGGTGCCAGAGGTCTGAGGTCAGCAACCGGTAAGTATAAGGAACTGTATAATCGATTGAAAAGCAATACTAAGAATTTAGCACAAAAATAGGATATAAAATAAATGTATACAAAATTACTGGGAATTTAAATACAAAAATAATTTATAACTAAATTAGCTTAAGGTAATGTAGTGGACACTACAAAATAAATTATATTAAAATATTTTTCTACACAATTTGATGTATTAGTTATTTTTAACTTTTTTTTTATTAATTTATTAATGAATAATATTGTTTTAAATACAGTATTTGACTTTTGTGTGCTTAAACTTTTTTGTTGTTATGAGATTAATAAAATGTTCATAAATTTTAAAAATATATTTTTATATTTATAAAATTTAGAGAAAAAATATTAATATTATAATAATACCAATAAATTTAAGTTTAAATTATTCGTTTAATTTGCAATAAAAAAAATATTAAACATTACATTTACTACTTTTTTATAATAAAAATAATATTTACCTTCAAATTACAAATAGATAACACACAATACAAACAGATAGTAAAAATTAATAACAATTGATAAAAATTAAATTAGCTTTAAATAAATTTGACAAGTATATTTATCAGTTTTCAATTAAACTTAAATTTATACTTTGTAAAAATATAGAAAATTAAATTATTATACTATAAATAATAGATATATCTTATCATTTAGATGAACAACTTAATTGTTAATTAGAAAAATGTTATATTTTAATAGAAAATAATAGTTTAATCAAGGTTTCAATTTCAAACACTACTAGATTTTACTATATTTTTTAAATAAAAGTAAATAATATCCTGGTACAATAGGCTTAAGTAATTTTTAAAATACAGGTATACATATAAATAGGGATATATCTTTATTTTAATTTTAGTCATAGTTTTGAAACTACAGTATCTGGTGGCTGGTTAACAAAAAAAAAAATAAAATATTATATTAAGTTAATATCATTTTTAAAAAATGAAACTTATTTTAGTTTTTGCTGCACTATTGTGCTGTAAGTGATAATAAAAAAATTAATTTATATATATAAATAGTTTAAATTATTAAAAATAATAATATCATTAATATTTTTATTCTATTAGATACCTGTGCCGCACCTACTGGAGCACCTGCACCCTCTACCGGCAAACCACCTGCACCTACAACAGGCAGACCACCGGTACCTACAACAGGCAGACCCCCTGTTCCTACAACAGGCAGACCCCCAGTTCCTACAACAGGCAGACCACCGGTACCGACAACAGGCAGACCACCGGTACCTACAACAGGCAGACCCCCTGTTCCTACAACAGGCAGACCACCGGTTCCTACTACCGGCAGACCTCCGGTTCCTACTACTGGCAGACCACCGGTACCTACAACAGGCAGACCACCGGTACCGACCACATTATCACCATTGGAGCACGAGCGACAAGTGCTTCTCCAACGTGGCGCTGCCCTACTGGCACGTGTACAGAAAACTGTCCAAAAACTAAGAGACGAGAAACGCCAACATTTGGCCGGCGAATTGTTGGCCGAAGAGGAACGCCTACATCGACTGCTCGATGAACTCAAAGCTGTTACCGATGTCGACGCACTTCGGCTTCTGGAGATTGAAGTCGGACTCGTTGAACGACGTGTCGAAATTGAAGTAAGTTTTTAGAAAAATAAAATAAATCATTAATTATATAATCTAATACTTAAATCATTAATTAAATTATACTATAATTAATCTTATCTTAATTCAATCTAAGTTCAACATATTTAATATATATTATATATAAGAAATAAATTAAATTAAATCTATATAACAAAAATTTTTATACAATTAGTACTATAGTTATAGCTATATATTATATTTTATGATTTATAAAATTTAAATAGAGATATGTATAGCTCATACAGTTTCTATTGAATATTTAAACTCAAAAAAATAATATCTTTAAAAAAAATATTTTAATTATAATAGATATTTTTTAAATAATTTCTATTTATAGAAAAATTATCTTTTATTTAATAGTAATTTTTTTTATAAAAAAATAATTTATGTTTGTTTTTTTGACTAAAAAATAGGAGTCATTGTTGGAAAAAGAGACCGAAAGTCAGGAACAGTTACTGAAAGATGCGAAAATACTTAGTGAATACGTTAAGTTGGAAATTGAAAAACTAGAAAAAACTACGGGTCCTGATAGACATAAGGCTCACGAAGCTGCCCGTGCTCTCAGACATGAGGAACACCGACTGTTGCAGGTATGCGGCGAACTGGTACACGCACAGACTGTCCAACGTATTGCCGAATATGAGGTCGAACTCAGAACCATTGAAGTCCGTATCGCCGAAATACTCAGACACTTGCACTTTCATCCACCGACACCTACCGGTGCGCCCACACCTCCTGTGTTTTAGATTCTCTACATAATACTAATAACATATGACACTACTACCTGTATATTTAAATTTATAATAATTTTTTATTATTATTTATAATTATTAATATTATTAATATTATTATAATTATTAATATTATTATAATTATTAATATTATTAATATTATTATAATTATTAATATTATTATAATTATTAATATTATTATAATTATTAATATTATTATAATTAGTAATATTATTAATATTATTATAATTAGTAAAAAATAATGATTATTACTAAAAATTATATAACAAAAATTTATTATTAAAATTTTTTCCTATTATTTTTTTCTAATAAATAATTTTGTTAATTATAAATTTATATATTTAGTTAATTTGTGTGTGTGTGTGTGTGTGTGTATCATATGTGATATTGTAAGTTTATTATTATAAAAATAATTATAAAATGATTGTGATAAAAAAATATATATATAAAGTATATGTACTAAAATTCTAAAAATATATTAATTTTCAATTAATGTTTGACATACCTAATTTTTATTAATATATCATATTTTAGTACATTATTTTATAAAAGTAAGTAATTGAAGTATTATTTTTTAAAATTTATATTCAATACTATTATTTTACTAAATAAAAACATTTTCTTAGAAAAATAATATAATTATTAATCAAAAATAACTTTTATCTAATAATCATATTATTTAGTGTAAATAAACTTGACATTAATTAATAACTTAGATTATTAAAAAAAAGTCATACAAGCAGTAAATTATATTTAATTAAAATATAACATTTGCTAAAATTCACATAAAATTTTATGTTTTTTAATTTGTAAAATTATCAATTTCATGTTTCTATTAACTATAAAACTTAAATATATATGTAATTATACTTTTAAAATGTTAAAAAACATCTCATTATTTATAACTTTATTAAATATATCAAATAAATTAAATTTTATTGTAACTAAGCATTTAGTATACTAATCTAATTATAAAATATTTTATTTTTTCTAATAAATTACAAAATAATAAAAGATTAATGACTTTGAATGTCCTGAAAATATTTTTGTAGACATCTTTAAAAAAAATCTGCAAATATTCCCAAAAAAACAACAATAAATATATCAAGATATAGATTACTAGTTCTTAATAAAAAATTATAATTATTTTAGTATTATTATTAGCATTTATTATATTAGTACAAAATAACTGTGATATCATGTCATTAATTGTAATCACATGTAAATAATTTTCTTAATTAAGACTAAATTAGTGTAATAGATATAATAATTTGCGCACAATTAATACAATATTTTTTTTATATAAATTATCTATATATATAGAAGTTGTTAAATATAATTTTTTATTAGTTATAAATATTAAAAAAACATTTATATTATTATATTATTAAAATAATAATATTAATAATTTAAACAATGAAATTGATTATTGTAATTGCTGCTATTGTTTACGGTAAGTACAAGTTTGCAATATTGCAATTAAATAAATTTTGTGTGTATTTTTTCTCTAATATGACATAATAGTGGCTACTTGTGCACCACCGCCACCAACACCAGCACCGACTAAAGCTCCTCCTCCACCACCAACACCAGCACCAACTAAACCCCCGACAGCACCACCGACAGCACCACCAACACCGAAACCCATTGACAAAGATGAACTATTGAAAATTGCGGCCCAATTGGACAAACTGGCCACCGATGAGATCAGCAAGTTTAAGGCTATCGATCGGGTGTCACTGGTAGCCAACATACAGATACTCCAACAAAATGTTCGCGATTTAGTCAACAAATTGAAGACCACTACCGGTGCCCTGCCGTTAGAGGTAATCAAATCGCAGTTGTTTTGGTTGGAACGGCAACTGGGAGTGGAGATCGAAGCTACCGAAGCTGCCTATGCTTTGGTCGTCAAATTGTTGAACAATGCGGCACAGCTGAAGGTACGCATAGATGAGGGTATCAAACGTATGGGCGCCGACACACCCGTAGGTAAAGCCTTGGCCGAAGAGGGACAGTCGTTGGAGAAAACTGTTACCAATTTGAAGAATGCTACCGATGCCCGTACTATACAACTGTTGGAATTTGATTTAGCCCTAATCGAGGAACGGGTCAAAGCTGAATTAGGACCATAAGTTTATAAGAATATAATGTTATACATAATGTTAAGTTTAATATCTAAAAAATTAAATAAATTAAAAAATTAAAAAATTAAAAAATTAAAAATATCAACTAATTTTTACTAATTTTTATCAACTAATACAGTACAGTAGGTTTTCAATCATTTTACTTTAAAGAAAGATTGTAATTAAAAATAAATAAAATGTGAATAAATACTTATATTATAAAATATATTGTTTAATTTTATATACTTATTATCAGTGTAACTGTCTTATTAGATTTAAAACATTTAGTTAATTTAATAATATTGTAGTTAACTATTTATTTTAATATTTTTTAAATATAAAATTAATTAATGTTTAACTTTCTACTTAAGAATTTTTTTATTAACTAAAAAATTACAACTAAATTACTATTAATTTTTAATATTTATAGAAAAATATTTTAAATCATTAATATAAAATAATTAAACATATTAAAGCTACACAATATTAAAATATTTATATTGAGCAAAAAAATTGTATCATATTAATCGTATACAATGTAATTTTACTACAGTTTATTATAAAACAAAAATTTAAATATTTATGACATATTTAATGATCTAATTAATTTTTAAAAATAAATATTTTATTTATCTAATAGTATATGTATTAGAGTAAATACTATATTAAATGATTAAAAACTTAATGTATATTTTATATGCTAAATATCAAAGTCATCTTTGACATACATGCAGTTAAAACATATATTTTCTTTTAAAAAAATCTAAAAAATTTCTGAGTTTAATATACTATTAGATATACTGTATTATATATACAATATAGAAATATTTATTTTATACAATTAGAAATTAATTAAAGTTTTTTTGTAAACACAAATCATAAAAATATAAAAAAAAATATTTTTAATAATTAACCTTAAAATGCATTTTATTGTTACTCTTTTTTTTATTTAATATATAATTGTATTAAATAAAAATATTATTTATTGTAGACGTATTTTTTACAAGAACTTAATTAATATTTTATTTTTTCCAGATATACTAACCGTTTATTTTGTTTATTAACAATGATGATTATTATTATTATTTAAAATATTGATTACAATCATTACGTATTATATTATATATATATAAAAAAAGGATTCACATGTTTTCCACTTAAATTTGCAATATATAGTAAACATAAGTAAAAAATTATTTAAATTTTATTTGCTTGTGTACTACTATACAATAGCACACTTGTATATAATAATATAAAATTTTTAATAATTTTTTTTAAAAGTAAAAACTAGTAAATAATATTTTTTTCATACAAAATTTAACTTAACATTGACCGTCAATAACTAAATCCAATAATTATCATATAATAATAATAATAATATAGATATGAATAAAATTATTATAACAATGAAGTTATTATTGTTAATTGCCGCTCTAGTATTAGGTAAATACAAATCACCATCAGCACCAGTACCTCCGCAACCACCAGCGCTGAAACCAACGTTACCGCCGCCGCCATCGACATTGCAGCCTCAACTAACTAAAGAGGCCTTATTAAAAAAAGCGGCCCAATTGGACAAACTGGCCAACGATGAGATCAATAAGTTTAAGGCCATCGATCGGACATCGCTTGTACTCGACATACAGATTCTTCAGCAATATATGCACGACTTAATTGATAGGCTTAATCAAGCTACCGGTGCCTTACCGTTACAGGTAATCCAATCGCAATTGTTTTGGCTCGAGTGGGAACTACAGCTTGTGATCGATGCTACCGAAGCCAACAACGATATGATTGTCAAACTGTTGACAACTGCCGAACAGCTAAAGGTACGAATTGATAGGGGTATTGAACGTATGGGTGCAGACACACCGGTAGGCAGAGCACTGGCCTACGAAAGAGTGTCGCTCGACAATAATGTCAATAGCTTGAAGAAGGCCATCGACTCCCGTACCATACAAATAGTGGAGTTTGATTTGGCACTAATAGAGGAACGGCTTAAAGCAGAATTAGGTCCATCCGATTAACACTTACCGTATATACAATATACAGTATATATACATAATATATATAACTATGATTTTGTTTTAAAAAAACAAATTATAAATATTATTATTTAATATATAGTTAATTTTTATATAAATTTTTATAATATAAAAGTTTAAGTTTCTAATAAATTACAAAATAAAAATTCTATTAAAAAATTTAAAAATAATAGCTGTAAAAAGACTATTTGTTAATTAATATGATTAATTCAAACAGTATTATTATTATTATTATTATTATTATTATTATTATTATTATAGCATTTACATTTAATTATTTACAGTATCAGATAGTACAGTATCTTTGCTATTAATTTACTTAAATATTTTTAAACTTGTTCTGTATATTATACTATATACTGTAATACATGTATATTCCTAAATACTATATGTTTTTTATAATAAATATAAATTTACTTAACATTTAGTTTAATTTACTAATTTTAAAATTAAGTAAAATATCTTGTTCTAATAGCAAATATTTAATAATTTACTTAAGAGCATTATTATTATTTTTTTAATTTTAGTGTTTAATGTTTAGTAAAAAATTATTAAAATTAAATATACTTATTAAAAAATACAAAAAATAGATAGATAATTAAAATAAAATTTAATATATATGTACAACGTGTCTTATTATCTAATACATCATATTATAAAATTTAAAAATATGCTTATATTCTTATTTAAATATACATATATAAAATTTTTGTTTTTTTTTACTTTAAAATGATAATCATTATTTTTATTAAATTATTTTTGATGATCATTATATTTCATAATAATTAAATATATTATTAAAATAATGTAAGTTATTTGTTTGTGTGTCAAAACAAAAAATGTCGTCAAACTGACGCTTTATATTGAAAATATAAAATATTTTTATTTTTTAAAAAAACTATATTTTAAAAACATTTTTTACTGGGAGTTAATTACAGAATATTTTATTAAACTGCAGAAAAAAATGCTAAAAGTTACTAAAAATTTAATTAAAATGAATATAATTATTAGTATTATAACTATAATATTAATTTTACAAAATGCTGTTATTGTATTGGGTCAGTCATCATCTGAATCGGAATCAATATCAACTACTACATCATCTACTGAACTACCGTCACCGACATCACCGTTACCATCGACGGCCAAACCTAATAATATAACCAAAGAAGATCTACTGAAGATAGCCATCCAATTGGACAAACAGTCAACAGATATAATCGCAAAGTTTAAGTCATTGAATAAGATGTCATTAGTGACAAACATAATGATTTTGCAGCAAAATTTGAAAGATTTGTTTAACAAATTAAACTCAACTACCGGTGCTATACCCGAACAGGTACTTGAATCGCAATTGTTTTGGCTGGAAATGCAACTACAGATTGAAATCAATTCGACAAATGCCAACTACTCAATGATTGTCAAACTGTTGAAAACGGCTGACCAGCTAAAGAAGCGCATTGATACCGGTATTGAACATATGGGTGCCGACACTCTAGTAGGTAAAGCACTGGCCGATGAAAGACAATCACTGGAAAAAACTGTCAATAAATTGAAGATAGCTATTGACGAACGGGTTATACATCTATTAGAGTTAGAATTGGCACAAATTGAGGAACGGCTTAACGCAGAATTAAATATATAAATAATTATTATATTAAAAAAACAAATAAAAATATGATATAAAAATATTTTTTAACAATTATATAATATTTTTTAATATTAATCAAAAAATAGTTTTAAATATTTTTTTAAAAAATAAATCATAATATGTTCAATAGTATACTTATGTTTAAAAAAATGTTTGTTATAGAGTGTTAAACAATTATTAATGATTTCTAGTGTAATATTTACTGTAATTAATTTTAGATTTTATTATTAAATATAAAAAGGATAAAAGGTTGTTATGTAATATTTATTTATTTTGCATATAATACTAATAATATTTTATTTAAAAATAAATTTGAAACGTATATTAACTAAATTTTTATTTTAAAATTATAAACAACTTAGAGACAAAAAAAATTTAGATGTTATTTATTATATTTTTTTGAAAGTTTTGAATAGCATATTTTATTTTCAGTAATTAATTTTAATTGATGAAAACTACAATTTTATTTACAGTTATTAGTAAATGATTCATATATTATGATATTGTATGTGAAATAATTTAGGAAAATTAAAAACTCTATTTATAAATACAACAAAATATTAAATTATTATTTTTAAATAAAATATAATAAAAAACAAATAAATTATTTAATAACTTATTCTATAATATACATTAAATTATACTAATAGTTTTTAGTTAATAGTTTATAAAGTTTAAAAGTATTTTATTAATTAGACTTAACTGTACATACAGATGCTTAAATATTTATAGAAATTTATTTTTAATAAAACTTTTATATACAGTATATATTTTAATATATTATTCATTGATATATATTTTGTTATTTCAATATAATTTCAGTATAATATGATAAAATATTTGAAACATTATACTTACCAGATTTTTCATAACAATTATTATACTAAAAATAATATATATATTTTATATATATATATATATATTACAAAATTATAAACTATAGTATACAACATAGCCTTATTTAATTAATTAAAAAAAACTATGTCTCAATTAAGCTCAAGTTTGATATTATTATGCTTATACGTGTTGGTAGCACGTGGCACGTGCTGTACATTTGATTCTGAGTGTACAATCAACGGAGTGGCACAACGTTGCATAAATCAGTCATGTGTTGTCATCAATCAACCGGCAGTACCGGCAGCACCCGCAGCACCCGCAGCACCGGTAGCATCCGCAGCACCCGCAGCATCTGCAGTACCGGCAGCACCCGTACAAGTAGTGGTCGTACACCATGATATCGGGTCTCATGAATGCGACAAAAATCTGGACTGTCTGACCAAACGGGGCATCTATTCAAAGTGTAAGCACCATAAGTGCGTCAAAAGCGATCACAAAATATGTGTAACCGATGATGACTGCAAAAATAATAAAGTACACCGAAAGTGCAAACATAATCAGTGCAATCTTGGATTTTAGCATTCAATTCAATTATAATTACTGTATAAATATACCGATAATATCCAATAAGTACTAAAAAACGGTATAATAAGTAATAATATTTAACAATAAATGTTTTTTTTACCACTAATTTGAATTGTTTCAAAATATTTTATAAATAATATTTTCAATGTAAACTTAAAATAAAAATTTTGAATTTTATTTTTAAATAAATTTTTTCTATATGAATTTGTTTATTTTATAATTAATTCTATAATATATATAATACATTAAATTGACTAATAATTTATTATTAATTGAACTTAGTTATACATATAAATGTTTAAATACTTTTTTTGTAATATTCATTAATGTATATTTTTATTTCAATATAATTTCAATATAATATTATATGATAAAATATTTGAAACATTATACTTACCAGAATGTTTTTTATAAAATTTTTTTTATAACATGTTTATAATAAATATATTGAAAATAATATATATATACAGGTATATATATAAAAGTATTACAAAATAATAAACTATAGTATACAACATAGTCTTATTTAATTAACTTTAAGAAAATATGTCTCAATTAAGCTCAAGTTATCTATTATTTTTGTGCTTATATGTGTTGGTAGCACGTGGCACGTGCTGTACATTTGATTCTGAGTGTACTATCAACGGTGTAGCACAACGTTGCGTTAATAAGGTGTGTGTTGCCAGCAATGGATCGGTACAACAGGTAGTGGTCGTACACCATCTTAATAACAGTCAACCACTACTACATCAGCCGCAGCCGCAGGTAGTGGTCGTACATCATCTTAATACCGGACTTAATAAATGTGATACACATCTGGACTGTCTGGCCAAACGTGGCATCTATTCAAAGTGTAGACACCATAAGTGTGTCAAAAGTCATCGGAAAATATGTGTTACCGATAATGATTGCAAACAAAATCGTTTGCACAAAAAGTGTAAGAAAAATCAATGCAAATTTGGATGGTAATTTGGATCATTAATATATATATATATATATAATATATACAGAAATACTATAGTAATAAAAAGTTTAAAATTATAAAAGTATATTTTTTTAACAATAGATGCTTTTTTCACACTAATAATTGTTTAAAAAATTTTTGTGTAATATCTACAATGTAAACTTAAAAAATAAAATTTTATTTTAACATAATTTCTTTTAGCTATGATATTGTTTATTATTTACTAATTAAAATATATCTGTAATTGCAAAACAAGAAATATTTATTATATTAAAATATTAGTGTATTTTTTAGTATTTTATTTTATTTAAAAATTTATTACTAAATAGTTAACTTAAACTAATTAAATAAATGTTACAAAATAACGTTGCAATACACACTACTAATAAGTATTGTAATCATTGTATTATAATTACTAATAAAATACAACACTTTCAATGAATTTAATTAATAATAATTGCAAAGTCACCCAATAATTGCATTATGTTTAGGTAAATAACAAAATATAATACTACATCCTATTTATTATTGCAACAAAAAAATAAATAATTAAATTTATAAGTCTATTACTATAAACAAAAAAAGTATATAAATAAAGGTTAAAAATATAATGCTTTCAAATAGATTAACAATTATAATATAATAGATTTTTTTTTTTTGATTTAAATTGTCTATACAGTGTAATACAGTAATGTATAAAATTATAGTATCAATAACTATTTTATTTGTTAGCCTATTGTTGGCACCGGTAGTTGTTTATGGTATACCATGTACGGTGGACGCCGAATGCACTATTAACGGTATTGTATACCGGTGTCAAAATGGCCAGTGTGCACTAACCAATTGGTCATCATCTAGTGGCCCTATAAGGGAGTGTTACGATGACATCAATTGTTATACACGAGGTATTTACTACAAGTGCCGGGACAACCGGTGCGTACCGGCCGATCATAAGCTATGTTTATCGGACAACGATTGCAAGAAAAATTGGCTAAACCGCCGATGTCTGGCCAATCATTGCTCTAAATAGACTTTAGTTTCTTTAAAAAAAATATAATATAATATTTGTAAAAATATAATGAAAACTTATAATACTGTATATACTGTGTATTTCATTATATGATTTTTATAAAAGCTAATATACTGTATTATAAAATTAATGTTTTTTTTTATAAGTTTTTTAAAAATAAATTTGACTAAATGGACTATTTTACTATGGTTTAATATAATGTAATTATTTACTTTTATTTACTTTTTTATACTGTATTATAATTATTATTATTACTGTAAATGTAGAATTTTTAAAAGTTTAAATAATTTTTACCACTAATTTATTGTAACTGCAATTTATGTTTTAATATTATTGTAAATATTATTTAATTGAAAAAAACTACTCAAACAATTAAAATAGCAAATCATTTTTAATTGCCACTAAATTTGCAAGACTATTAAAATTACGAAAAAAACAATTACAAAATTTTTGTATTATTTGCTAATATTTATATAATGATAAATGATTTTTATATGCCTTTAACTATTAACAGATTATAAACAATCTCAGAGGAAGTAATAGTTGGTCACCAAAAAAAAGTTTACATTATATTTTACATTACTAATTTTTAATTAAAATTTTTATTAAAAAAATATTAACTAATAGCTAAATAATTTATATATATAAATTATAATTTAAAATATTATAAATCAGTATAGAATATATAAAATATATTTATTTATAAATACGGCATTAATTTAATAGACATATGGCTTTATTCAATTCAAAAAACACAATTCATGGAGGTTTACAAATTATAATAATTTTTTTTAACTTAAAACTTAAAATCTAAACTATATAAACATCATATAATTGCAATTTTAATATACAACTTGGAGTTATATGAAAAGTTAAATTGATAATCACACAATATTAATTTTTAAACTTGTAAATTTTAAATTATTTGTTTATGAAATGTACAAAATAGCATTGCGTTTATTGGTTTCCAGTTTAATGTTTCCGTTAATTTATGGCATACCCTGTACATTTGATTCGGAATGTACTGTCAATGGTGTTGTGCACCGGTGTGTGACTGGCCAGTGCGTTATCACTGACCAACCTCCTCCTGGTGGTCCCACATACGAGTGCTACACTGATGTCAACTGTCTTAACAGTCGTGGTGTTTACTACAAGTGCCGAAACAATCAGTGCGTTCCGTCCACACATAAAATATGTCTAAATAATGATGACTGTAAAGACAATCTGATGAATATTAGATGTATTAATAATCATTGTTCACTATTTGGATAGACTTACTATCAAAAAGTACAGTCAAACATTTAATACATATATTTTATTTTATTTTTTTCTAATAAACTATTATTTTGTTTCAATAAGTTTTAAATTATTTTAATTTATAAATAAATATTTTTATTAACAAATATACTGTATGTTTAAATTTTAAGTAATACAAAAATATTTTAAGTTTATTACTATAATTATAAGTTTAATTACTAATGTATTAATTTTTTTTAATTATTTTACTGTATTATCTGAAATATTTATTATATATTAGAAAACATTATACATAAAAATATTTGTGTAAATTTTTATTTATTAGAAAAATAAGTATTAAATATGTATTTTGATGTGTATTTGTTAATTAATTTGTATTTCAAACATTTTTAACATTAAAGATTAAAATTTATATTTTATATTTGTTTTAATTTATTCTAAATTAATATTAAACTGCTTGTCATCGATAATTTTTATGTTTTATGAAGTAATTTGTAATAAAAATTTTTATTGTATTAAACATAACTATACAGATTATTTCACTAAACTATTGTAATTGATAATTACAGTAACTATAAATACTAAACAAGTTATACATATTATTAGTAATAAAATAATTATTATCTATTTTAAAACAATAGAATATTTATTTTAACCAAATAATAATTGATTTAATTATAATTGATATTATTGGTTAAAGTCAAAACAATTAATTGTAATAATGTACAAATTATTTATTATTAGTATTACAATAATGATGATGACTGAAACACTAGTGGTGGGCATACCCTGCACTTTTGATACCGAGTGTCGGATCGGCAATGTTTACTACCAGTGCCTCAATAGCCAGTGTTATATAACTGATCAACACTTGGGTCATCATTTGGAAGAATGTTACGAAGATATCAATTGTTATCATTACGGCATTTACTACAAGTGCCGAAACAATCGGTGCCTATCGGCTAACCATAAGCTATGTATTAGTGATAATGATTGCAAAAAAAATTTGTTAAACCGACACTGCAATCATGATAATCATTGTGGTTGATCTAAATGTTTATATATTTAGATAGTAAAATAAATTTATATTAATTAAAAATTATACTAATCTAACTAAATTATTATTACTATTTATATTTCTAATAGTTATAATGAATAACTAAATTTATGGGGACATAATTGTATAGTAATTATTGTATTTGATTTGTATTATTTTAATTGCAAAAATCTGTATTTTTAATTACTTATAGTTTAATAAAAAAATAACATTAATAATATGTTTTCTTAAATTAAAAATTTAATATTTTTTTGTGTCAAATATAATTTTATATTAAATATAAATTATGTTTGTTACAACTACATTAAACAATTTTTTTAAATATATTTTTTACTAACACAATTAAATGGTAAAATATTTACTATACAGTAGTACAATATAAAAAATTTTATAATATACTTTAGTATCCAACAACAAAAAAATCATAGTCATTGGTAAATGTACATATTTTAAGTAATATATTTTTTATTATTTACATTTTATAGTTTACTAAGTAAAATATGCATTAGTTATAAGTAGTACTTATTTTTAAAAAATAATATATTTTAAGTTTTGTAAATTCAGAAAATATTATACAAAATTTATATTTTATTGAAACATTAAAATGATTTTCTTAATTATTTATCTCATTTATAAATTCGTTTTTGTTTACATAATAAAGTAAATTTATTGTATTTTTTTATTAGTTATTATATTAGTTATTAGTAGTTTAATATATATATATATAATATTATTTGAATATTAAATAAATAATTACTTTTAATTTATACATTTAAAAAAATAATTTTAGAAAACTATTACTAATTGGTCCACTATCTTATTGGAAATATCGTGGCATCAATGGCCCGGAACCGACACCTATATTTGGCAATACATTGACCACATATTTGAAACCATTGGCTCAGTTAGATAGCGACTGGTGCCGGAAGTATGGAACTGTATTCGGGTTTGTAATAATCTAATTCATTTATTTAAACAAAATGATAGAGTATATAATAAGACATTAAAATATTAAAGTATGTTAGTTAGTATTCTCTAAGGCTGACATAAAACTAATTAAATATTTAATAAGTAAAGCGTATTATAAAGTATAATACATAACTAATTTATCAAAAAAAATATATAATTATTGCCAACATGTATATGTTATTATATATTTTTACAAAATTTTTAAACACAGTATATTTGCTTTTTAAAATATTGTAAAATAAATTCTATATAAATTATATTATATTAATTTATGGAATACAAACCAAAAAATTCAAAACCTTGTAATTTGCAACCCTATACTGTATGACAAATTTTTACTTATATACAAAAATAAGCGCCTCCTTATATAAAAAAATATCAATTAAAGTACACTTTATAACCATAACTTATATTATATACTGTATACTATACATTCATAATTCATTTATAATTCATAAGAATACTAAAAAAATTCCAACAATTATACTGTAGTTTATTTGATTATAGAAAATAAAGATCATATTTAATAATTTATTCAAACAACTTAATACATTATGAATAATTAACTAATGAATATTATATATTAAACATAACATAACATATCATAATAATGTTTGTCATATGTTATCAGAATCTACCGAAACTGTTACCCAGAGCTGATGGTCAGCGACCCGGAGCTTATCAAACAAATACTGGACACTGAATTCAGGTCGTTTGCCGACCGCCGACCGCCGCCAATAGACGTTAAAAGTAGTTTTTCGTTTATATTGCCGGCGCTTACGGGCGGTGATTGGGATCGCATGCATCGCATCTACAAATACGTGTTCACACCTGAAAATGAGCTCAAAATTATACCAAAAGTCAACGACTGTTGCGATCAACTAATCGATGCGTGGAATCAGCGAATCTTCGATAAGGACAACGAGATTGACACCGATGTGTCGTTACGTAATCTGGCACTGGATATGATAGCCTGGACAGTGTTCGGCACTCGTGTGTCGCCAGAGTTTACCGAAGGCACCCGTAAATTGACTCAATGTTTGCTACCGATGCGCTTCATTATGACATTGTTTCCCAAAACTGTTGAACGCATGTCCCGAACAATACAACCTTATGTTGATAGTCATGACAAATATTTTCTCGATTATCTTAATCAGGAAATTATATTACGTGACCGTAACGATGATTGCGGTAACGATTTTTTACAGTTATTTATGAATTTGCGTAAATCAAACAGTTTTGGTCAACTAATTTGTTCAGCGAATTCGGTACCCGATGTCGACCTACTCAACAAACAGGAAATGATTTGGCAATTATTTACGTTCCCGTTTTGGGGCTTTGAATCAATGTCCGCTACACTTGGATTTGCATTGTATGAGTTGGCATTGAATCCCGACATTCAGGATCGACTACGCAATGAAATTATTACTATTTGCGATAATCATAATAATAATAATAGATCAGTAAATATAAACAGTTTTGATAAACTCATATATTTAGAGGCATTCCTACTAGAAGTGCATCGCAAGTATCCGGTATTTTATCGCCTTTCCCGTCGACTCACTGAAGATGCAGTGGTCGGCGCCGATACAGGTATTGTAATGTCTAAGCAGCAGATAATTAACATACCGGTGCATGCCTTGCATCACAATCCTAGTTATTATCCGGAACCTCAGTTGTTTGAGCCTGATAGATTTATGCCCGAAAACATTGTCAATATCAAGCCCTACACATATCTGGCCTACGGTTCCGGTCCGCGTCAGTGTATAGCCAAACGATTTGCACAAATGCAGCTAAAGTTAGTGTTGTGTCGAATGCTTTGTGAATACGAGTTCTACAAACTTATCGATACAACAGTACCACCAGTTTATCGCAAGAATCCCGAAGCCGTTACTGTTTCGCAACCTCTAGTGTTGGGTATTAAAAAATGGATACAAAATTAAATTTTATATAATTAATAATTTTATATCAACAAAATATTAATTTCTAGCAATAAGAAATAATTTATTAATTATTAGATTTATATTTTTTACTTAACTCACAGTTTGTTTTTTAAAATATATTATATATTTATTTTAATAAATTTTTAACATTTAATTTTAACAATAATTAGTAAAAATGTTTTTTTAAATAAATCTTAAATAATTTATTAATACTTTTAGTATAATTTTTGTTTAAATATTATAATTCATCTTCTTCAAACTCAATTGAACAATTATTATTGATATTTTCTACAATTAAATTAGTTTGCCATGATAATATAAATATTATTAACACAGATATAATTGCCAATGCTGAAAGTCCTAAATTTATATAAATAAATAGTATGGGAAAATTGACTAGGTGAACACCTACGGCAATTGGCACCAATACGCCCACTATATTGACGCTAATTGTTTTAATAATATTAAAAGTTTGGTTAACTGGAACTACAGTTTCTGGTAAATCATATAGTGTTGGTATCAATGGCCCAAATCCGATGCCGTAAATCAAACTGGTTGTCCACATAACTATAAGTGTTTTTGACGCATATAGTAGTATCAGATTAGCCAACAATATCATAATCAATCCGGTAATTAGTATAATAAATTTGTTAACATATTGACCAATTAGTGTACTAACAAATTGACTGCACGCTGCACTTATGAATATAGCAGTGGCCATAAAGGCTGCAATATGTGTGTTCATATAATGGCCAACTAGATAAGCAAATGTAGGAAAATAAGCAGTATATGTATAGTTTATAAATGATACTTGAGCAATTAACAATGTTGTCATTATCATTTGCCAAAATTGTTGACAATTTATATTTAAATCTTTTTTAATTTGTCGGAAAATATTTGAATAAAATTGATGTGAACTTTGTTGTTGTTGTTGAACTGTTTGAATATCATGTAATGTTGATTGAAAATTATTTTCAATATTACTAAATCTAATATTATTATTATTAATTTCATTATTATTATCATTATTATGTTTGTAAATATATTTAGTATAGAAATATATTGATGCCATAGTAGTGCCACATGTGACTGTCATAATTCCTACAAATGTATGGGGAATCCATAATACTGAGTTAGTAATAGTAGTAGTAGTGGTCATCCTAAAATTATAACTATCAATTGTTGAATTATTATTATTTGTAGATTGTATTATATTAGTCAAAAATGTTGGATGATCAGTTAGAAATGGTGCAACAATTAGTGGACTAATGATTGACGACATAATACCCATCAATCGTAGAACCTGTATGTATGGCATGTGATCGCTGTTTGGCCATAATTTTACTAACCATACATCATGTATAGTAGAAGTGCCAAATAATACGATATTCAAAATGGCATTATTAAGCAGCAAATAGTTGAGTGATGGTAGTGAAGGTATTAGTGCTGAGGTTATACCGTTGATAATGAGCATACAAGCATAAACAAGTTGTATATTACAATGGCCACATATAATTTTGACTAGAAATACAACAATTTTTTATTATTTTTACTAAAATAATTAAAATAGTAAAATTAAGTTAAATTACATAATATGGCAAGTGGTGTAAACAAATATGATAATGCCAATATATAGGATATAGATTTTAAATCAGTTGCATAAAGTTGACATAAGTTTGTTAACGATACACCAATAAATCTAGCCACTAGAGACTAAAATATATGAAACAATTTAGTAATATTTATTAAACTATACTAAATATTAATTAATTTTTAATTAGTTTTTATTTAGTTATTTAAGTAAAAAAAACAAACTTACATTAATTAACGCACATATGCATATATAAAATGATAGCATGTGCTTTAATTTATTGAAATTCATTATAGTTTATTTAAAAAAATGCGATTAAAATAATAAATTTATAATCTAGGTAAAAAACAAAACTAATTTTTATCAAATTTATATAAGAATTTATATTTCTACGATTTTATTTTATATTATATATATATACAGTACTTAAATAATGATTAAGTTAATACCAATAATGTATTAAATATTGAATATATAAAATTAAATATAAATTTTTTTTAAAAATGTATTTTGTTTTATCATGCTATAAGTAATTAATAATGTATATAGACATATTTAAAATATATCTAACAATTGGAATTTTATTTTTTTTATTATAATTATACAGAGTTAACATACAGTATAATCTAATAAATTAATATATTATTAAAAAATATTGTACTCTTAATTTCAACTTTATATTATAATTAATAAGAGATTTTATGCTAGATTGATTATTTAAATTAAAATAATTTTATAAATCATAAAAATTTTATTAAAATGACACTTCAATAATAAATCTATTCAAATGTGACTATTATTTTAAAATATTTTTTGTTTATGAAATAACTAATACAAACAATACATTTATTTTATATATAATATAATATATTATTAAAAATCAAATTAAATTCAAATTCAATGTTTTAATTATATTGTAGTTAAATCAATAAAATTAATGTTTCAAAAAATCTCGATAATAGATTACTTATTTTTTAGTAATGATTTTTTACTATAATGTATTTAATAATTTATATTTATATATTAATATACAGTATCTGTATATTTGATATTAAAGTATAATGTATTAAAGTAATTATTAATATAATCAATAATGTTTATATCTTATTATTGCATCATTTATAGTTAATATCTATATTTTTAGTAATTATTGAATAAAGTTTTTGTAATAATTATTACTTTTTTTTAATAAATATTCAATATTCAATATTTATTGATTATTYGCACTAAACTATTATATTTAATAAATTACTCATAAAATCTATTAATATTATAAAATAATATGAATATTATAACATAAACAAGTAGTAGTATTTATAAAAATATAATACTTGCCTAAAATTATTAAACTATAAAGCTAGTATTATTATTTTWWWAAAAAATGTTTTTAAATAACTTAAAATTGTTAAATTCTATAATTATTACTATTATTTTTGTTCAACAAGCTTATGATTCAAAGCCAGTAAAATGTATTAACTTTACAGATAATAATTTTATGTTTAATTTTACAAATACAGCACCAAATGAAACAATAAGTTTATCTACAGCGATGACCGAACCGTTTAGTGTATTAACCATCAAATATGATGATAAGGGAAATGGATATTATACTGAATGTGGGGTTGGGTTGACATTGATTGTGGAATGGGCTCGACGTGCAAATGTATTGTAAGTTATTTACAATTATAATCAATTTTTACAAATAAATAAATTTATAATATATTGCGTAATTGACATAATTGAGATATGTTAAATTAAGATTTAAAACACCATTTTTAAAAAAACAATTAATTAAAATAACAAAYATATAATATATGGTATGTTAATCATTACTTAGACAAAAAAATAAATGTTTATTAAAATTTAAACAATAATTATAATAAATGTTTATATTATTAAAAATTGTATATAGATTAAAATTAAATGCTCCACGTCGTCCAAATGAAAGTACCTTGGACAATTTACTCAATAATGATCCTGATATTCTTGTTTGTGCACTCGACTCTTATTCGTTTTATGAATATTTTCAAAAATATCAATTACCATTTCATGGATCCATAATTATTGATCTATCAATGATGGCACACATAGCCTACAAAATTATCCCTGGTACAATGAATGTACTTGATAATTTTGCTACTCTAGATCCGTATATTTTAATATCAATAGCCATGAGTATCATGATTATCACTATATTAATTACACTGAACTTAAGTTTAGATAAATTTCACAAAAAACTAGCGATAGATTATCTAAAAATATTTTTCATGAATTTATTTGATGTTTGTACAACAATAATATCGCCAAATTCACCAAGTATATATAGAAATAATAATGATCACAGTATGATTATTGGCTACGAATTTATTGTATCAATTTGGTTAATTATGGCCATGATAATATCAAAATATACTGGTAATTTTATTATGGAAATAATGATCCAGGCAATACCCAATCGCTTAATTGATTCATGGTCGGATCTATATACAATGCCTGACCAAGTTCAAATTGTAGCAATTAATTCAGATTATTTAACACAATTTGCTCAAACTCCCGGATCAGATATGGCTAAAAATTTTTTAAAAAGATTACAAACATTTGATTATGTTGATTATGCTAATCTAACATTTTTGTCAACCCTAATCAAACATTTATCAACTGGTCGTTGGGCTTATGTTAAAAGTCAGGAACAATTAATTTATCATTTATTACAATATCAAGGATTGGCTAAAAAAGTATTGGGTCACCATGGTGGTCAGTTTCTTGAAAATCTACACGTATCGCAATTGGGTGGCTCATCGGTCGGCTATTTTGTGCCGATATCCGATCATCTTAAGCCCGAATATAATCAATTATTTAATAAGCTGTAAGTTATTAATAAAATAATTTAATACTATTTATAGATATTTATATTAATAAAAAAAATTAAATATTTGTATCTGAAAAAATATATTATTAATTCTAACACATTTTTTGTGTAGTATTGTCGGGACCCGTGAATCGGGTATTTATCAAAAATGGAAATACGATATGTTTGCCACTATTGCTGGTTATAACTCATTAATGAATAGTCACAAAATTGATCGCAATTTACAAAATCAAGTAAAATACGAGACACTAATGTTAGCTGACATTCAATATTTATTTGTTATTTATTTAATTTGTTTAGTTATTGCTATTTCAGTATTTATAACTAGAAAATTAGTAAATTATTTTATTAAAATAGAAAATCTAAATAATTGCAAAAAATCTAAACCTAAATCAAGAAAAATAGATTTAAATAAATTTAATAAAAATTACAAAATTAGATATTTAAACAATGTATATATTAATAAAAACTATTATTAATTATCTAAAAATATTACTTCAAATAAAATAATATTGAAATATTTTTTTAAAAGTTTATTACTAGTAAATTATTAAAATAAAATTATTGACCTTAAAATCTAATATACTGAAATTATAAAAAAAATTATAAAATAAAAAACTGCAAATAATAAAATTCTAAATAAAACTAATTAATAGATAATTAAAATCAATAATTTATTGTTTTATTTAATATTACTCAAATTGCTGACCGCCTTTCAAGTCTAATAATAACACGTTTGGGTGACACTAGTGTTAATGTTTTGTCATATTTGAGCGGAATATCGGTTTGTGATGTCGGCATAAATTTGTATTTAGTCACCAACTGAGCTAAACATGTCTTAACTTCAAGCAATGCAAACCGCATGGCTATACAATTACGTGGACCGACACCAAACGGCATATATGTGTATGGCTTAATCAGGTGACGATTACCAGGCATAAAACGCTCCGGTAGATAGGTATTGGCGTGCCTGTAGTACTCTTCATTACAATGAATGGCCGAAACCGGTATCTCAATTTGTTGACCTTTTGCTAATTGAATGCCAGTGCCCGGTATGGTGTAGTCGGTGGCGGCAATTCTCTGAAGTACCTGATTTGGTGAGTGTAGTCTCAGTGATTCAGATATACAGGCGTCCAAATAAGGCAATTGCAGACATGTTTCATAATTGAGTTGTTGTTGTTGTTGTGTGTTATCATCCCTTTCCCTATCGTCATCCATATGAGTAGTACTGGTGCTGGCGTTAAGCGATTCTGTGATTTCATCAAAAAGTTTTTGTTGTGCGCGCGGATTGAGAGCCAGCTCGTAGACAGTAAACGTTAGTGCAGTCGATGTGGTTTCATAGGCCGCCACCATAAACACCAATCCCTGCGCCACAATCTCATCCTCACTGAGCTTTTTGTTGGCTACTTTCAAATTGAGTGTCCGACGACTAGCCTCCTGTTCCTCTGAACCTGAATTCATACACATATATTGTATATATTATTATTATATTATTATTATTATTATTATTATTATTATTATTATTATTATTATTATTATTATTATTATTATTATTATTATTATTATTATTATTATTATTATTATTATTATTATTATTATTATTATTATTATTATTATTATTATTATTATTATTATTATTATTATTATTATTATTATTATTATTATTATTATTATTATTATTATTATTATTATTATTATTATTATTATTATTATTATTATTATTATTATTATTATTATTATTATTATTATTATTATTATTATTATTATTATTATTATTATTATTATTATTATTATTATTATTATTATTATTATTATTATTATTATTATTATTATTATTATTATTATTATTATTATTATTATTATTATTATTATTATTATTATTATTATTATTATTATTATTATTATTATTATTATTATTATTATTATTATTATTATTATTATTATTATTATTATTATTATTATTATTATTATTATTATTATTATTATTATTATTATTATTATTATTATTATTATTATTATTATTATTATTATTATTTATTATTATTATTATTATTATTATTATTATTATTATTATTATTATTATTATTATTATTATTATTATTATTATTATTATTATTATTATTATTATTATTATTATTATTATTATTATTATTATTATTATTATTATTATTATTATTATTATTATTATTATTATTATTATTATTATTATTATTATTATTATTATTATTATTATTATTATTATTATTATTATTATTATTATTATTATTATTATTATTATTATTATTATTATTATTATTATTATTATTATTATTATTATTATTATTATTATTATTATTATTATTATTATTATTATTATTATTATTATTATTATTATTATTATTATTATTATTATTATTATTATTATTATTATTATTATTATTATTATTATTATTATTATTATTATTATTATTATTATTATTATTATTATTATTATTATAACAAATATTTAAGATAGTATTGTTGTTTTAATATTGATATTACTTATTTAATAACATTATACAGCTGTTGTAGTTATGTACAGGTAGTATTTAATGTAAGATTATACTGTATCATTGACATACAAATACATATACAGCACATACACTTAAATAACAATCATAAATTATTAAACTCTATACTAACTATAGAATTACACATAAAAATAATATTAAAAATGTATTAATATAACTTATTTTTATAGAATATAAAAAAAAGTTTATAAACTAAATAATAAATTAAGTTAATATAATAATAATTAAGTTTTTTTAAAAACCTTGTAACTGTGAGCTATCCATATAATCCATGGCATCACCAAAACCACTGTCGGCATCCATAAGCAACTGAACGAAATCATTGTGTCTGACATTGGATTTTCGTCGTTCAGCCAAAACATTGCGAATTGTTGTGAAAAAAAAGTTTTTGATTCTTGTTTCGAGTGAACCCAAAAACAGTTTGTAGGCCCAACCGGGCATAAACACGTTTATCAAAACACGTGCCAAATTGGCATCAAAAATCATGCGCGCATTTTTCACAAATGGACTGTCGGTTGCGGCGGCACCAGTAGTAGTAGTAGTAGAAGTACTATAGGGATTAGTTTTAATACCAAACGCTGTCCGTGCAATGATATCCATAGCCAGCGAACCGAACTCTTTTTTGGCATTTATAATATCCGTCGGTTTGGTATTCATATTACCCTTAATTACTGTTTCCAGATGTCTAACAAAATCAGTACAACAATCGCCGATAATTGGATACATAAGTTTCATTTTGGCCGATGAAAATGTCGGCGAAACTATTGACCGAATACGACGCCACTGATCACCCGTGGCTTCGGCTAAACTCTTCGATACTATCGGATCGCTCGGATCGTAAAGTTTTCGGTCAACAAATATAGTAAAATCTTTAACAAACATTGTTTTTATCAATTGTGGATCACTTATACGTAAAATTGGATCATTTGATATATATATTCTTTTTAATGTTATTAATATAATTAAAATGTTATAATTGTAAAGTAGAAAAGTAAAAAAAAAACAAACATATTATTTAAATAAAATAAATAATAAGCAAATTAAAATAGCAAACAAACCCATAGATTTTTCCATATTTTTTGTGCCACAATTGTTGATGAATAATGTGTGGCACACGAAGTAATTGATAAATGTTGCCAACAATTGGATATGGTTTTGGTCCACAAACGCCATATTTAGTCCAATAATTATAATTGTGTGTTAAATACCTTTTCATAATTAGAAAATTTATAAAAAATGTTAGTTATATTTTTAAAAAATTAACAAATGTTATAAAATAAAATATTTTTTAAGTAATAACTTAAGAATAAACTATGTGATGTATATATCTTACCAGTAAATTACTGTTATCATAATTAAAATTAAAAATAATAGAATTAGTTCCATAAATAAATAATTATTAATTTTTTTAAATATATTTTATTTTCTTAATTATTAAAATTTAATATATATAAATAAAAAGAAAATATATTTATAATAGTAAAAATGTTAGATTTTAAAATATATATTTAATAATAAAAAAATTATATAGTTAAAATACACAATCATGATATTTTTATTATGATATAGCAGTTTTTTAATTTAAATTGTATAAATTATTAAAAAATTTCATAGAAGGTTATCATCAATGTATTTGATAAAAATTATAAAATGATTTAATTTTAGAACAAAATTATTAAAATTAAAATAAACAGAAACTATGAAAAAAATTATACAAACCTTGAAATAGGAATAACTCGAGCTATAATACACGCTCGAGCTATAATACACGCTAATTGACACCGCAGTCAGATCTGACGCCTTAGTCACATCTGACACCTGAGTCACATCTGACACTGGAGTCACATCTGACACCGCAGTCACATCTGATACCGCAGTCAGATCTGACACCTTAGTCACATCTGACACTGGAGTCACATCTGACACTGGAGTCACATCTGACACCGCAGTCACATCTGATACCGCAGTCAGATCTGACACCTTAGTCACATCTGACACTGGAGTCACATCTGACACTGGAGTCACATCTGACACCGCAGTCACATCTGATACCGCAGTCAGATCTGACACCTTAGTCACATCTGACACCGGAGTCACATCTGATACCGCAGTCACATCTGACACCGCAGTCAGATCTGACACCTTAGTCACATCTGACACCTTAGTCACATCTGACACTGGAGTCACATCTGACACCGGAGTCACATCTGACACCGCAGTCACATCTGACACCATAGTCACATCTGACACCTTAGTCACATCTGACACTGGAGTCACATCTGACACTGGAGTCACATCTGACACCGCAGTCACATCTGATACCGCAGTCAGATCTGACACCTTAGTCACATCTGACACTGGAGTCACATCTGACACTGGAGTCACATCTGACACCGCAGTCACATCTGATACCGCAGTCAGATCTGACACCTTAGTCACATCTGACACTGGAGTCACATCTGACACTGGAGTCACATCTGACACCGCAGTCACATCTGATACCGCAGTCAGATCTGACACCTTAGTCACATCTGACACCGGAGTCACATCTGATACCGCAGTCACATCTGACACCGCAGTCAGATCTGACACCTTAGTCACATCTGACACCTTAGTCACATCTGACACTGGAGTCACATCTGACACCGGAGTCACATCTGACACCGCAGTCACATCTGACACCATAGTCACATCTGACACCATAGTCACATCTGACACCTTAGTCACATGTGACACCTGAGTCACATCTGACACCGGATTCACATCCGACACCGAAGTCACATCTGAAACCTTAGTCACATCTGACACTGGAGTCACATCTGACACCTTAGTCACATCTGACACTGGAGTCACATCTGACACCGGAGTCACATCTGACACCGCAGTCAGATCTGACACCTTAGTCACATCTGACACCTGAGTCACACGTGACACCTGAGTCACATCTGACACCGAATTCACATCGGACACCGGAGTCACATCTGACACCTTAGTCACATCTGACACTGGAGTCACATCTGACACCGGAGTCACATCTGATACCGCAGTCACATCTGACACCTTAGTCACATCTGACACTGGAGTCACATCTGACACCTTAGTCACATCTGACACTGGAGTCACATCTGACACTGGAGTCACATCTGACACCGGAGTCACATCTGATACCGCAGTCACATCTGACACCGCAGTCAGATCTGACACCTTAGTCACATCTGACACCTTAGTCACATCTGACACTGGAGTCACATCTGACACCGGAGTCACATCTGATACCGCAGTCACATCTGACACCGCAGTCAGATCTGACACCTTAGTCACATCTGACACCGGAGTCACATCTGACACCGCAGTCACATCTGACACCGCAGTCACATCTGACACCGCAGTCAGAACTGACACCATAGTCACATCTGACACCGAATTCACATCGGACACCGGAGTCACATCTGACACCTTAGTCACATCTGACACTGGAGTCACATCTGACACCGGAGTCACATCTGACACCTTAGTCACATCTGACACTGGAGTCACATCTGACACTGGAGTCACATCTGACACCGGAGTCACATCTGATACCGCAGTCACATCTGACACCGCAGTCAGATCTGACACCTTAGTCACATCTGACACCTTAGTCACATCTGACACCGCAGTCACATCTGACACCGCAGTCAGATCTGACACCTTAGTCACATCTGACACCTGAGTCACATGTGACACCTGAGTCACATCTGACACCGAATTCACATCGGACACCGGAGTCACATCTGACACCTTAGTCACATCTGACACCGGAGTCACATCTGATACCGCAGTCACATCTGACACCTTAGTCACATCTGTCACTGGAGTCACATCTGACACTGGAGTCACATCTGACACTGGAGTCACATCTGACACCGCAGTCACATCTGACACCGCAGTCAGATCTGACACCTTAGTCACATCTGACACCTGAGTCACATCTGACACCTGAGTCACATCTGACACCGAATTCACATCGGACACCGGAGTCACATCTGACACCTTAGTCACATCTGACACTGGAGTCACATCTGACACCGGAGTCACATCTGATACCGCAGTCACATCTGACACCTTAGTCACATCTGACACCTGAGTCACATCTGACACTGGAGTCACATCTGACACCGGAGTCACATCTGATACCGCAGTCACATCTGACACCGCAGTCACATCTGTCACTGGAGTCACATCTGACACTGGAGTCACATCTGACACTGGAGTCACATCTGACACCTTAGTCACATCTGACACCGGAGTCACATCTGACACCGGAGTCACATCTGATACCGCAGTCACATCTGACACCTTAGTCACATCTGACACCTGAGTCACATCTGACACTGGAGTCACATCTGACACCGGAGTCACATCTGATACCGCAGTCACATCTGACACCGCAGTCACATCTGTCACTGGAGTCACATCTGACACTGGAGTCACATCTGACACTGGAGTCACATCTGACACCTTAGTCACATCTGACACCTGAGTCACATCTGACACTGGAGTCACATCTGACACCGGAGTCACATCTGATACCGCAGTCACATCTGACACCGCAGTCACATCTGACACCGCAGTCAGATCTGACACCTTAGTCACATCTGACACCTGAGTCACATGTGACACCTGAGTCACATCTGACACCGAATTCACATCGGACACCGGAGTCACATCATGGTTAGGTTAGGTTAGGTTAGGTTAGGTTAGGTTAGGTTAGGTTAGGTTAGGTTAGGTTAGGTTAGGTTAGGTTAGGTTAGGTTAGGTTAGGTTAGGTTAGGTTTTTTTTTTTTCCTTTGCATAAAATAATTTATTAGAGTACTTTTAAAATGATAAATACAAATTGTTAATATAATATAATATAAATATAAATTATTTAAGTTGATAAATTAATTATAGCTGAAGTACTAGGAGTACTCTAAATATATAATAATAAAAATATTAAGAAACCTTGCTTTTGATACAAGGAGTATTGAAGACATTATGTTAAAATTGATTAATTAATAATTCAATGATTACATATAATATTTTGTACTTTAACAATGGCGTACTTTAACAATGGCGTACTTTAACAGTGGAGTACTTTATATAATTAATAGATTACATTGCTTTAAATATATATATATTTTACAGTTAGTGATTTATTTATAGTTTACAATCGTATTTAAATGTAGAGTACTTTAAAAGGATTAGTGTAGTACTAAAAATTATTTTTAAGTGGATTACTGTGGATCTGATAAATATTTTAAATAAATTAAAGTAGTACTACTAAGAAGTACTTTTAAATGGATTACTGTAGTACTAAAAAGCATTTTTAAGTGGATTTTTGTAGTTCTGATGAATAATTTTAATTAAATTAAAGTAGTACAACTAAGAAGTACCTTTAAATGGATTACTGTAGTACTAAGAAGTACTTATAAATGGATTACTGTAGTACTAAAAAGTATTTTTAAGTGGATTACTGTTGACTAAGAAGTTCTTTTATATGGATTACTGTAGTACTAAAAGAGTACTTTTTTAAGAAATTTAAAATTAACAAAAAACAAAAATAATGATAAAGAAAGTGATTAAATATTTTATTGAAGAAGTACTTTTAAGAGTACTGTATTATTTATTATGAAAAAGAAGAAGAAAAAAAAAAAAAAAAAAGAACAAAATTGAATATAATTGTCATGAGATGATAGTGAATAAATAGAAAATAGATTAATACTATAAAGTACTTTTAATAGTACTTTTAGCGTATGTAAACTTATACATTATAAATATATACATTAATTGATTGATAAATATTTCATTTTAGGGCGTTTTGTTTGCGAAGTACTTTGAGCTCTTCGTATCGCGCTTCGAGTTTAGCCAGTTTTTCTTCGGTCAGATCTTCGGCGTACGCCCAACCTCTGCCATCATCAGGCATGATTTTTTGATGGAATTGCGACCAATGCTTAGATATATTGCCCTGTTTATCGATGAAGGGACAGAGTTCTCTTATGTTGTCAACTTTGACGTACGCTGAGCATCGTTTCGGTTTTTTGCCTGATTTTGCAGCGGATTTGGAAGTACTTCCTTGGGTTTTTGACGTATTGGAAGCAGATGTATTGGGTACCACTTTTTTGGTGTTGCTTACGATCGGTTTTCCAGTTGGAGGTTTCTCTTTGAAGTACTTCTTGCGTACTTCTTCTAGTGATGGAACCGATTGATACGCTCTGATAATCTCATCTCTGGCTCTGATTTCCTGTTTCAACATTTCGATCTTCTCTTCTCTTTTTTGGTCTCTTTTGGCCAGCGTATCGGTCACAGTTTTTGCGTACTCCGCATCGTACGTTTTCTTGACCGAGTACTCGATTCTTTTAAACATTGGTATGTCATTAGGTGGTGGTGTTGGTGTTCGCGGTTGCGGTGTTTGTGTTGCTACATTTCTAGGTGGAGAGCGTACTTTCAGCGACTTTCCTTTATCGATCTTCTGTTTCTTTTTCACAGGTGAGGACGTTACCGTTGGTGATTGTGTCGGAGGCGTAGAGGAATAGTCTGGAGTACGTGGCAATACTTCATTAGATTCGACGGTTATGAGAGAGTACTCCGAGTCGTCCGATGAGCTCGCTGACAGATTTGGTTCGTATGACATTTTTGCGAGTACTTTCACTGGTGTAATCACTGGTTATAAATTTCACTTAATTAACAATTTGATGTTATCTGTTTGAAGGACAGATCACAAATGAGGTATTTTGCTGTGTGTCAATTCTTTTTATAGATTTTTGTGGTTGCTATGGTAACATAAAGTACTTTCAAGCGTACTTTCTATGTATTGTTTATATATTTTAATGTATTTATAATGCTATGAATAAAAATTTTGAATTCTGAGAGTACTATGTTATTAGTAATTATTTCTAAAATATCAAATGTTTTTATTTTATTATTGTCGAGTACTCTATCAAAAGTATTTCTTCGTAAGTTATAAATAGGACAAAAACGTATAAGATGATCGAGACTTTGAGTTGAATGTTCATCGCAAGGGCAGGCGTCTGATGTTGTTATGTTGAATTTCTTCAAGTACTCCAGATGATATCCATGTCCGCTGAGTACTTGCGTCATTTCGAACGTGGTTCCTGTTTTGTTGTGAAGTTTGAAGACGTCGTGTATTGATGGGAAATGAGTTTTGAGAGTACTTCCTGTAGTCGAACTTATGTATTGTTGGTTCCATTCGTATATTGTTTTTTCTCTTATGTTTTTCTTCAGAGTACTTAATGGCATATCTGTGAGTATTGGCGCTTTGTGTGATAGAGTAGCATTTTTGGCTAATATGTCGGCTGTTTCGTTACCGTCAGTACCTATATGCGCTTTGGTCCAATAGAAACGTACTTCTTTCAATTGTTGTTTTAAAGTGTTTACAAGTATTTGTATGTTGTATATTTGCTGATTTGAAGTACTTCTATTTTTCAGTGATTGAAGTGCTGATCTCGAATCTGAGTATAATTTGATATATTTTATTTTTCTTCTTTTGGAGTACTCTAGAGCTTTCTCTATTGCACATAATTCACTTTGAAAAACTGAACAATTATCTCCAAGTTTATGCTTTTCGAAATATTTTGGCGTACTTTGTTCGTATACTTGGAATGCGCATCCAACTTTTCCATCCAACTTACTTCCGTCAGTGTATATCTTAATTTCATTTGGTTGAGTTGTTGTTGTTGGAGTACTTGTATCATTGAAAGAAATTGACGTACGTTGACTGGGGTGTTTTAATAATGTAAATTTTACTTTATGTTGTAGCTTGAAATCCATATATTCTGAAGTACTGTTTCGTTTGGCGTTTTCAATTTCGGCTATTTCTTTAATTTTGAGATCCAATGGTATTACATTTGCCAGTGCAAATGCTGTTGTGAACGATAGCGTATGAAAGCCTTTACAAATGCGTATTGCTATTGAGCGCTGGAAAGCAAGAAGTTTTTTCTTTGCGTACTTTAGTTTGAGACCATCGATCCAAGTACTGCATCCGTACGTTATTGCAGGTTCTATAGCTCTCAAATATATTATGCGTATTATTTCAGAGTCGAGTCCCCATGTTGGTGCAGCAACTCTTAATAAAGATCTGTATATTTTTGAGCATTTATTTATAGCGTACTCTATGTGTTTGTTGAATTTTAAGTCTTTATCTATTATAATTCCAAGTACTTTAATATGATTTTCATATTCGAGTACTTTATTATTCATTAGTATGGGTATATTTTGTTGTCTTTGATTAAAGGATATGAGTTTAGTTTTTTCAGATCCAAACGTAAGTTTTACTTTTTTACCCCAATCGATAATTTCTTGAAGTACTTCTTCTGTGATGTTTTTCAAACGATGTTTGTCCTTGTGATGTGTTATTAGAAGTACGTCATCTGCAAATGCTTGCATATGTGCGTTTGGTGGAAGTGATTTGCTTAATAAGTCGTCTATAATAATATTCCAAAATGTAGGGCCGCCGATTGAACCTTGGATACAACCTTTAGTAAGTACTTTAGTTGCAGTATTATTTCCATAGTTGAGAAGTACTTTGCGATCTTTAAAGTAATGTTTGATTAGATCTAAAGTGTTTTTTGGAGTATTTTTAGTTTTTAAGCCATTGATAACTGCCGGCCACCAAGCATTGTCAAACGCTGCTTTGATGTCTAAAGATATTGCCATAACGTACTCTTTCTTTGATTTAGCGTACTTGATTATGTTTAATGCGTTGCTTATTGCGTCAACAGTTGATGTTTGAGGAGTAAAGCCGTACTGTTTGTTTGACAATTGGCCTCTTTTATGTAAGTCCCATTGTACTCTTCTAATTATTACTCCTTCAAGTACTTTTCCAAATACAGGCAGTAGTCCAATAGGTCGATGTGATGACAACTCATTATAATTCTCTTTTCCAGGTTTAGGGATGATCTTAACGTACGCTGTTTTCCAATAAGTAGGAAAAAGATTTAGAGTATAACATACGTTAAGTAATTTTGTTACAATATTAGGGAAAGTTGTTGTAAATTGTTCTATTATGTCTGATGTTAAATTATCGAGTCCTGGGGCTTTCTTGGGGTTCATGTTATGTAGTACTTCCAATATTTCTTCATACTTAATGGGGCTATCATTTGGCTGGGTATTGTAATCATCTTCTGATGACGTACGCAGAATTTGTTGTTCAAGTGTATCGTTTTGAGGTGTGTCATCAGGATAGAAGTAGTTAAGTAACGTTTCTGCAGAGTCTTTAGCGTTTGTAGTGTACGTGCCGTCGATTTTGAAAGTACTTTTAAGCTGTTTATTTGGAGCGTCTTTTATGACTCGAAAAATATTACTCCATACGTCGTCCTTATTTTGTTTTGAAATGTATTCTTTCCAACTTTGAAGAGAATGCTTTTTAATGAGTTGAGTGTATTCAACTTGAAGATTAGAGTACTCGTCGACTGCATTTTTAGGAGGTTTTCCTATCGCATTTTGTAATCGATGTTTACTTTTAAGAAGTTTATCTTTGAGTACGTCTAATTCCTCTGTCCACCAGTGACAGAGTACTTTATTGTGTTTGCGTACAGGGATTGAGTCATTGCAGGCTTTATGTATTGTAGTTGTTAGGTCAGAAATAAAATTGTCAAGAGTACTGAGATTATTAATCATTTCTATGCGGTGATCGTTTATATTATAAATTTGTGAGTACTTTAAACAACGTAATTTAAATTGTTCCCAATCGGCGTACTTTGTTCGAAACTTATGAGTAGATGTGTTATACTTTTCAATGCACTCATCGAGTAAAATGTCAAAACATATTGCATTATGATCGCTGCTGCTGATTAACTTAGGGTTTACCTGCCAATTGATGATTTTTGTAGACAAGTTTAGAGTACTTGCTGTAATGTCTATAATAGATTGTAATAAATTTTCTCCTCTAGTAGTTTGAAAGGTAGGCACATTGCCGACATTGAGTACTTCCATGTCGTTTATTATTAAAAAGTTTTCGATTTTATTTCCGTTGTCA